CATTGCAGCAGATGGTTCCCCATGTTGTGTGAATATGTTGTGCGAACATGCAAAACAAAACCCAGCATTCCTGTAATCCTCCACAGGATGCCCTAAAATAAAAGAGAATTATTGAGAACAAACAGTAAGGCTTCTATTAAGATTCGGTTTTCCTTTCGTATTCTGAGTAGGTGTATTTAATTTTTAATGAGTGACTCAAGTACAAAGCTATTTTTAGCTCTAACTCAACTTTTGAAACACTGGAAAAGCTCAGTGTAAGAACACACTATACATGCAACGGTGGGGGGAAGGAACATGAACTACAACCACAAAACTAAAGCAATGACTTCCCCCTCTTTGGTATTCAGTTAACGTAAAACGAGTGTGCTACCCTTCCCCGTGAAGACGGCACTACAGGCCAACCTCGGAAAGCCTGCAAGCACCAAAGTCCGTATGCATTGTGCTGGCCCCATATCCACTTCTCAGAGGCCTCTGTTCCACACTCACCAGCCATCTCCCTATGCCATCCATCTACCGAGGCTCTTGCCTTCTTGAAAGCAATTACAATTATTTATCCTGCCCTCCCTCAAATGCTCGTTCACAGGCACGTGGCAGCTGGTATATATTAGGTTGAAAGGCAATCTTACTAAATGAACTCCCTCGACACCTCAGCAACTAGTGTATGTTAATAGCCTCTAGAATATTTACATTCTACGAAATAGTATTTGCCAGTATAGGTGAGTAGCAGATGGACGATATACTACTTTGGATGGGTTGGCACTACTTGGTATCTGAGAGACAGAGGCAGACGGGTCAGCCTCGACTGCAAGTACCCTTACACCCCAGTGACTCCAGCAAGTTCCGTGAAGCCTCGCTTTCTCATTTCACAGCATTAACTGTTTGGTCTCAAAGCCCCTTCCAAGGCAAATCCCAACAGGACTGGTGTGTGGACGCTTGTGTGTCCTTTTCCTTAATCTTAGCACCTTGACTCTTGACTCTTCATGCATTTAGAGCCAAAGCCAATTAACTCAGTGCGCCTTCCCAGTGAGCCAAATTATAGTCTTTATGCAGAAGTAGCCCAGAAAGTTTAGTATCAGTTCTCTGTTTATTCTATTCGAAGATCTCTTTAACAAGTCATAAAATTATTAACATAGCAAAAAAGTTAATTGGGTGGTTTCCTGAAAGCAGCAAAGCTGCCAGGGCTAGGAGAACTGGGTTTGTTGAATGAACTGTACGCCTTCAGTGCCGTAACACTCATTTCTCTCTTTTATGTCTGCTACAATTGCAGACTTATTGGCAAAGTGGAATGATAAAACTTATCTTTGGAGGGCTTGCCATACCTGATATTTCACGATAGGTCTGATGCACTTCCTGTCCATCGTCAATGAGCACCTCCCAGGCTCCATTCCCAGAGCCAGATACAAAGCCCAGAATAAGCCACAAGTTTTGGGACAGGAGGTGTCTGCTGAGTCAGGCATCCCTAAACAAGTGTCATGGTGCCATTACGGTAAGGAATTCATTTATAACAGGACTCCTCTCTCCCAGCCACAGAGGATCGGAGAGAATCCCTCTTTTCAGGTTTATAGACACACCCACAGCAACTGGATGGCCATTTTTTGAACATGGGGTAAATAATATAGCTTTATAGTAGATCTAGAACTAGGGAATCCCCAAAGAGAGCCCACTCAAGTATCTCACCGAAAGATAAGATTGTGAAGACTTGCCAGCAAATTTTCTACATTTTAGTACTTCTAATACTTCAGAAAATTTTAAAAAATCTAAGCCCTTTTGCATTATTCCAAATAATATTTATGGAATATTTCACAGTTCTCAGAAGAAATAGAGTGATATTACAGACAGATTCTTTTGGCACACATGTGCACCAGTAAGCAGCTAGTGAAGTTTTGTGCAAGGCAGGAAACGTGCAGAGCCTCACCCGGATTCTCCTTTGGTCACACACCAGGCAGCGTGAAGTGAGGCCTCCTGAAACTTCATGCACCTTCTTTATTCCCTAAACTCTATTCCGTTCAAGAAAAGGGAAAGAGCACTTGAGAAAATTATAATCTTTTAAACTCATATGTATAATCTATTGGAATTCTTATTAGAAATTTGCTTTTATTAAGCAGTTTCAATTAAAGGACTGAAGTTTGACACTTTACTCTTCTCTGTTGTCTCGAATGCAAAATTCACTTGCCCTGCCATCAACATGGGACTTTTTCTTTTTAAGATTTTATTTATTTGACAGAGAGAGACACAGCAAGAGAGAGAACACAAGCAGGGGGAGTGGGAGAGGGAGAAGCAGGCTTCCCGTGGAGCAGGGAGCCCAATGCGGGGCTCGATCCCATGGGACCATGACCTGAGCCGAAGGCAGACGCTTAACCGACTAAGCCACCCAGGCGCCCAATATGGGACTTTTTGTGACTATTAAAATTCATTTTAAAATCCATCTTAGGATGTTTTTTTCCAAAGACGGTGGAGACCTATCCTTCATGACGAGAACTGTGAGGGACAGCCATTATCTGGAACACTGTGGACTGAGATTTAAGCTGAATCTCAGACGTCATATTAGAAAAAGAAGAGAGTGCTGGAAGCTTTGTGTATGATTTGAACATGACTCATTTCTTTGTCAGTCTGATTTGTCAAGTGAAGAATAATTAGTTCAGTCCTCAAGAAGGGAAGTCTGAGTAAAGCCAGCCTGAACTCTGGTGGACTGGATTTGAAAGAACGTAAGCTCTGAGGAGATTGGCTCAGGCTCAGGAGGATGCAGCCTCTGGGTATTTACACCTCTGACACGTTAGAAATGCTTAAAATTCAAGTTCAGTGCGATACAAGTAAATTTCTGAGACTCCCTATTTAATTTCATCTATCCAGTTCAGACAACTCTGACAGAATACCCAATCCTGAGACCATATTCCTCCAGACAAAGAAGCCCGCAGGGGTGTGCATGCGGGTAAATACCTAGTACCTACAGGAGCAGCAGATTTATCTGTCTGGGTTCATTCAGGATTTTAGAGCTGAAATTATGCCAGATTTGTGAGCATTTTTAAAATGACACTAGTGATCTTTAGGAACAGATTCTATTTTAAGCTAAGAGCCTCGATTTAAACACCTGAAATACCTTTGCTAACATAACTCAGAACTCCACTGCCCCCTCAGCACCACCATGACCCCCACCCTTCCCTGGGTAGTAGATGATGAAAATGTTGAAACTTGTTGCTGCTGTATCATGAAAATTTTATTCATTGTAAGATATTCTAAAGGAACAAGGGGGGGGGGAAATGTTCCCACACCTCTTGGTGCCCTTCTCTGCAAGGGAGAGGCCATAAGCAGAAACTCAGCTTCATTCCTACCAAGCATAATGAAGATAAAGCATCGTCAGTAACAGGTGCCCCCCAACCATAATTCCTCCGCATATGCTTTTTTTTCCCCTCCTGTGAAAAGGAGCATTAGCAAAAATTTTGGTAGAGGAAATCCTTTTTGCCTATGCAAAGGCATCATATTCTGCTTATAATAAAATCTTAACGTGTCCTATTTAACTTGTTCGGCCTACAAGCGTCATTAGGAATGTCCTTTGTATATTCAAGCAGCTTATATGTGACAGTGTTTGTAAATAAGGGCCTATGTATCAAGGGATATTATTAAATAATTACTAAAAATATATGTGATAATGTGAGTTTTGTATCAACTACTGCATTTGTATTATAAGTATAGTGAAGCACAGGGTATGAATAAAAAATTCTCCTATTGATTGCATTGTGGCGATACGTAGAATCATTTAGAAATTGTCCAGTGAGTAGTTACAATTACTAGATCCATTTCTTAATTAAGAATGATTCTTAACACATTGGGTCTCTAGCCATTGGTCAATGTGGCTTAAATAATATTATCACATATTCTAAGTGGAGAGGTCCAAAATGAAACTCTGAAATAAAAAGGTTTGGCCCCAGAGACCAATGCTGTGCACCACTCAGTATCTGACCATACATATGACGACATTCTCTGGATTACGGTCCTATCAAAATAGAAATTCAAAGCCATCCCCAGGGAAACACACACACACACACACACACACACACACACACACACACACACACACAGAGGCAGGTGCCTCCTCCCTTTCTCTTACCCAGCCCCTGGCATCCTTCTCTGCAGGTCACTGTTCTGGGGGAAAGTTAGACTCCCACGATTCAAACCTTCCTTGTCCCCTTCCCTCCCGTACCGAGCACAATTACCTGTTCCATGGCCTGGTCTCTTGAGGCCACCTGTCTGAAGCTAGCTAGATAATATCCCTACTTTAACCATCAATGGCCTTCATTGCCTTTGTTCATTCAACAAGCATTCACTGAGCATCTAACTAGGTGCAGTTATTACTCCAGGTGTCAGGGATAAAGCAATGGACCAGTCAAATCCATCCCTCCACCTAGTGAGGGAAGAGAGAAATAAGAAGCAAAAAGTCTAGCCTGATCAAGGATGGTAAATACGAAGGAGAAAAATCAGATACGGGGTGGGGGTGGTATATACGGTTCTGGACAGAAGGGTGCAAGCGTCTCAGACCAAGATTGCAATGTCTCAGAGTTCAGAGTTGGCAAACATCTGCATCTGAACACTTTTATGCACCTAATATTCCCACCAAATTACCCTAAAATAAAAAATAAAGCTTTGTAGTAGAATGTAGGTAATTATTTATATTTTTTTAATTTAAATTCAAAATAGTCTATCCTACCCTAAATAAACAAATGAAATCGCACCGGTATAAAAGAAAGCGAAGCAATTTTAGAAAACTCTAGAAACCTGTTCTTCTCTTAAATGGCTCTCTGTCCATCAAAACGAGACAGTAGGAGGGTGGCTAAAAATATAACTTTACTTGTTGCCTAGAAAGAATGATACTTTTTAAGACCCTAGAGGGCCAGGGCAAATCCAAGTCATTGCGGTAAAGACAAAAAACGTACGCACGGGGCCCATGCACTGTGAGTTACTGAGAGAAGGCGCGATGCGGAAGGGTGACGACAAGGTAACATTCCAAGACCGAAACAGCTTCCCTTTTTTATTAATGCTCAAGAATTGAACTGTGAATGACATTTAGTAAGCAAAACACAAATGAAAACACTTCATTTGTATGTATAGTATATGTAAACATACACATTATATGGATTTAATGATCCTAATCTAAATATGAGAACAATTGTTTCCCTGACCTTAGAGTCGGCATTACTGTTTCTTAGAGTGTTTCATATTTAACAGGAAGAATTATGGACACCCAAGTTCAGAGTAATCATGAATTCCATATTAAGGTATAAATAGAGTTTTAAAGAAATAAGCTGTATAATAAAATAAGTTTACTTTTGAATTGCAATACAGGCATTTTCTTCAATCAATAAAAATATTCCTTGATTATAAAGCAGCCATATTTTGCAAATGTATATCAGGAAAATAGCTCTGGCAATATTTGAAATACCACACTTCTTTTTAAAAAGGCAGCAAAGCAACAGAATTTAGATTTTAAATAGTATATTGCAAAATAGTTCAACATATTATTTCTAAGCACAAAGCGACCTCCATTCTAAAGGATACTTTTAATCTTATAAAGTAAACTGTTTCAATATTTCTGTGTCGTTTAAAGGCTACATATCTACACTAAAAGATAAATCTCTACACATATAAGACATAAATGTCACTACATATCCACAACACAAATGTTTTACATTATATCACTATATTTTGAAGCCCAGTTTGTTAACATGTGCTCAAAAAGAAATACAAAAACATGATACAGTTCTGTAGCTTTGTAACAGGCTGAATTTTGCAACAACTGAAAACATAAAAACAGCAAAGGTAGCAAACACAACACCAGTTTTATGATTAGAACCAAAAACATCGAGAAATCATAAACATTTAAATAACTATTATATTCTTCCTAACACATCTTAATTTATTCTCTTCTCTTAAATATAATTTTTCTAAATGTTTTTCATATCCCAGGAAGAAATAATGGCAAATTCTCCACAAAGATGAAAGTGCATTGTTTTAAAAGTGCTTCGTGTGTGTGTTTTATAGGTATGTCCAATAAGGAATTAGACAAGTACGTGCAAAAAATTCCAATTATGACTTGAATTCATAAACCTAATGATGGGGTTTTGTAGTTCATTCAGATGAGGCAATTGCCAACACAGAAGAAAAATCTGTGATTACATACTTTGTATAGAGGAAAGAGCACGAGCCACAGGTCAGGAGACCCCCATTCTATTCTGAGCTCTGTTAATCAGCTAGTTAGAGACTCTGGGTAAAAGAACTGCTCTAGAACCTCCATTTCTCTATCTGGCAATAGCTGAGAGGCTCAGCAGAAGAGCCTCGAAGGCCCATTCGACTCCAGAGTTTTAACATATCTCTAGATGAGGCATTCCTGAAAGGGCAAATCATTTCCAAAAAAAAAAAAAAGAGAGAAGAAAAATACACTAATCATAAGCTGCTCTTCTCTTACTGTACTTATTAGTACAGAAAGAAAAACTCCAAAAATACTTGACAGAAAAAAGGATGTGACGGTCATATGTTAACCAAAGCCTGTGAAAACTCTCACGATGACAGCCTATGAAAAATCCAGTATTATGTGCAAAAATGAAACCGAGTAAGCAACGTCAGTTGGTTACCTAAGGGCACATTTTTTTCCCTAAGTCTCAGAATGTCCTTGGCTCTAAAGCTTTAAAAGCTCTTAAAAATGCTTATTTTGAACTTATTTTAAGAGAACCATGGTTCCCATGGTTCAGATTTCTAGCTTTCTAAAGGAGTCTCTCTGAATTGTTATGTTTTTTTTTTTTTAGGAAGATAGCTCTATTTTCAAATCTAAAATAATGGCTAAATAAATAAACCATTGGCCATGGGCTCTTTAGGCATGTATATGAGCTCAGTGAATATGTTAGAAGTTTAACTCAACAATTCTCATCCACAAGCTTTGACCCATTTATTCCCCGATAGGTTACTCTGCTTGGCCTAACTAAGACTCCGTGGTTTGGCTTACAGGTGAAATAGCGCGTGTCACCCACGGCTCCGTCATTCTTCCCCTTGGCATTTCGAAGCTCAAGTCCAAGCCAGATTCCAGAAGCAAAGTCAGTGGGCCCCACATACCTAACGGTCCCCATCTCATTAGAGCTGGTGAGGAGGACCTGGGACCCCTCGTGCAGCTTCACGCTCCCTTCCCCGCTCCCAGCGGAGGTGGTGCTGCCCCAACTGCGGCGCAGGGCAGGTCTCGGTCTGGCGGAGGGAAGAGCAAGGGGACGGCTTCAGCAGGAAAGCAACACAAGCGATCTGTCAGATCCCTTCCCACCGCCACAGTCACGATTCATTCGCAAAACAAAATACTCTCTGTTCACACCCTGATTGTTTGTATTCGAAATAGCCACCTTAGGATATACTTTTGTTCAACATTTGAAACATTTTTCTCTCTTGGCTATTTTAATAGTACCCTAATCTGGATTCAAGATTTCACTAGCAATTTCTAAATACACACACACACACACACACACACACACACTTTTTACTTTCTGTAAAAATAGCCACTAGAAAAAAATACACTTGTAACTTGTTTAACTGCGCTCAATTATCAAAGCAAAAAAAAAAAGAATGTAGCATTAGGGCTATGGTAAATTAAAATGACCTTCTGTTCACTTTTTAAACATTTATTTACCTGAAAAACAATGTTTAGAAACTGCTCATCTATGACTTTATAAAATAAATTTATATATATCTTCTATGAATGAACTCCAGCCACACTTCAGGATCTACCACCCTCCCTGTCACTAACAGTAAGGAGGATCTTAGTTTCCAGACACAGGACTCCTCTCCTTTTCTCTACAAAACGTTATTTATAATGAACTGTGTCCTGGCACCCACCACCAACCTGACCTGATAGCAGAAAACTACTGAGCAGGGAACTCATCCAAGGCCTCAAGCCAATACTGTCCCTAGCACCCTCCACTGTCACTGTGAAGTCGCTGAGCCTGGAACTCAGTAGAAACATCACCAGGTTCTTGCTGCCCTACATGACCTGAGACTTCCCCAAACCACCACCACTGAAGCCTTGCAGGCTCCACCCGCGTACCACCTCTCCTCCAAAACAAAACCTCTCCCCGTTCCCACTGTAGAGACAAGGCAGAACCTGTTACCAAAACTGCATGGTGCCTGGAAGAAACCGGGTCCTCCTGATTCTCTATCCCATTTCACTGTCTATATTTCCTAAAACACTATCACACACAACACTGCATTTCCTTCCATTAACAACTCTGTAAGAAAGGAAGACCACTCTAATTTCATGGGTAAGAAAACTGAGGTCCAAAGATTTGTCCCAAGCCACATTTGCCAACACATGATAGAATTCTAGTCAGAAAATATAATGGAAAAACGTATTATTTATTACAAACATACACATACAATGATAAGGTTAACAAAGAATGCATAACACCTGTTGGGAAAAGTACAAACCTTTACTGAAGAACACACAAAAGAAAAATATACAAGCTTTGCTCCTGGATAGAAACATATATGTGTCAATTCTCCCTAAATTCACCGCCCCGAGGGATATTTGCAACCTCACAAAATCAGTCTAAATTTCAAATAAAAATGATGCCATGTATCATTTCCTGAGCACCTACTATGTGCCAGGCACTTTCCATCCACTATCTTATCCAACCTCACCCAAGCCACTGCCATAGATATTATCTCCCTTTGAACAGAAGAGGAATTTGAGGACCAAAAAAAATTAAGCTATTTGCCTATGGTCGGAGATATGGTGAAGAGGACAGATGGGGCTCCCGCGCAAGGTGGTCCAAGCACAAAGGCCAGGTGCTTACAGCCACAGATGGGTATTAGTAATTAACACAAAATTGAAAAATAACACAGCAAAGATTTACATTGCCAGCACATTAAATTCTAAAGTTACTATAACTAAAACAATGGGGCTCTGGCACAAGAATGTACTTCTACATGACACAGAAAAGATACCTTAGAGAAATACACATAATTTCTTATGTGATTAAAAAGGAAAACTTCAAATCAGTAGGGACAGGAGTGAACATTCAACTAGGAGTGCTGTAAAAATCATTTGGGGGGAAAGAATATGATTCTTACCACTCGCTGTATGTTAAAATAATTTCCAAATAAATTAAACAGCTAAATACATACATTAGAAAACAGGAAAGAACCAGAAGGAAATAGAGCTGGATATCTGCCTGAATACACACACACACACACACACACACACACACACACACACACACGAAGGGAGGGAAACAGAAAATGTATGAAAAGTCTAGCATCTACTCTTAGTTAAATTATTATTTTTTCACTTATTATTATGCCATAAAAACATTTCCATATCACAGGACAGTCTTTTAAAATACTGCAAAAGCCACACCGAGGAAAACTGTTAAAGAATACAGGATTTATTAAGGGAAAAACTTTCAAAGGGTATGGTGAATCTGATTTGTCCATCTTGATTTAAAATTCAGATACATGCTTTAGGAAAAAAATTAGGAAAGTATACACCAAAACGAAGTGATAATTTCATCTAGGTGATAAAAATTACAGATGATCTTTATCTGCACTTAGTTTTTTATAATTTTTCAAATTTTGTACAATCAACTTTCATAATCAAAAAAGTTTTAAGAGAAATAAACTAGTAATAAATGAATTCGAGATCTAAACCAAAAACTCATGGTTTGGGTGAAGAGTTAACATTCTAATAAGAATGATCTGATTCAAGTTACGTCTAAAAGCTCTAAAAGCTCTAAAAGCTCAGGGAAGTGAGAAACTAGGAATTACAGTACATTTCAGAGCTACTCATTCAAAAACATTAACTAACCACCTATGAAATGGCAGGCCCAGGGTTAGGTTCTAGATTTGTGCATAATAATCAGTAAAATGTCATCAATACCACAATACAGACTGTGTGCGGTGCAGAAGGAGCACAGGAGGAGGAAGAAGTCTATCCTCCCTTAAGGGCCAGGGAAGACCCTTCAGTGAGGAAGTGACCTGTAAGCCTCACCGGTGAGGCTATCCCCACGAGACCGAAGTCAGGGGCACACACAGGAGCCGTGCGTGCAAGCGGGCCTTCAGATGCCGTGCCAGTGAATCTGGACTTCATCGTGTGTTTGAGAATTGAGAAGCTTCAAGGCACAGGCAGTGAATGCAAACGGATGATGTGACATAATGGAACATGCAGCAAACAGGATTCTGCGAGTTCTGCCTAAAGACATTCAAATTTGAGCTGACCACACAAACCGTGTCCACAGGCTGGATCCCACAGACGGGACGCGCCGTGACAGCACGGAGAGGCGCTGAGAGAAGCTGGCAGGACCAGGCTGCATGTGGTGACAGGACACAGATGCAGGCCGGATGCCAGGTGGGCGAGGATGGACTCCTCGTGACCACCAGATCACTGTGGTGCCGGGTTCAATGCCCAAGCCCCCCTCCTCTCTAGTCCTATTCTTGGCATTAGATCCACATAGAATTCTGAAAACATGAGAACTGCGTCAAGCCCCTTGCCATCATGTTGTCCTCTGAATGAAATGCGTTCATCACTGTCATTTCGACAAATGACGCAGAAAACCAGATCCTGCCCGCCTGTCCTCACGTCCTCTCTCATGTGGGGCAGGCACGTCCTTTGCACAAACCCTTCAAGTTTCCTCCCCAGGAATTTTCATACCACTACGTTTTCCATGTTTCTTCTGGAAGTATCATTTATTTCCATATGAATAAACAAGAAAATGGTAGTGTGCGGGGAATCTCAACGAACTCATTTTTCAACCCAGTCTTCAGAATCCATCATGCTTCCGGCCTGGTCACAGCACAGTACCCGGTCCCCCCTGCGCCATCGGCAGAAGGCCAGCCGTCACTCCCACGTCTCCCCTAGCCCAAGGTCACAGGCAGCTCTCCTACTACCTGCCAACACCCAAAGTCTTCCTCTTGTTCCTCAGAACAGTGTCCACCAAACATTTCAGTCCCGTACTCTATAAGCAAACATCAATTATTTTTAAAATTGATTTTATACCCTCAATAAGAGAGGTTTTTTTTAAACAGGTACTAGTCTCAATCTGTACAAGTATCAGTAAAGCTTCATTTCTTTTGACTTTTATAGAAAATGAAGAGAAGGTCCTCACATTTTCCCCCGTGTCAGCAGATGATCTTGTGTCTACCCATACCTGCGGCGTAATTCCCATGGTTCAGATTTCTTGTCCTTCCCTTGGTTCCCTGCACATCGTGTTCCCCCACCCCCAGCATCGCACACGGTCTTTGACACTGCCCCTAACCCCGGGTCCTTTATAACCCGATGGTCTCTTCCTGGTATTTCTCCTATTCTGCCTAAGAACTCTTGGATATCTTCAAGAAACTGGAGCAGAGAGTCACTGCTCTTAACACACTCAGCCACTCAAGTGAGGAGACCAATTTCAACACTCTCAAAACTGGTGAAAGTTTGAAGGAAAGAAAAAAACAAAAACAAAACCCCCAGCCAACCCTGCTGAACAGTACCTAAAAATGTCTTAATCAGGGTTGGCAAGTGAAATTTCAGATCCTTGTGACGCCTGGAGTAACTTCCCAGCAGATTATATAAACCGCCTACCTGCTGCTCAGCTGATTGCCCAGTTCCAGCACCTGGGCTCCACTTTCTAGTGGTTTCCAGAGTACCACACTTAAGCAAGGACGTGTGCTTTCCTGCTCAGCTAGTCCTTCTTTCCTTCCCCACCCACCCCTCCACAGCCACGGGCATTAGCCTTTAGATGAAGTGGAAAAATTTTAAATTAAAAAAAAAAAAAAAGAACTCCTTAATCCAATCAATCTAGAAGAGCCTCATATTCCTCTAAAAATAAAAAAGTTTCCCAGAGTGTCAGAAAAACATCAGGGGGAGTAAAGTGGGTCTGAGGGAAATCAATATAAATGAAAAAGAAAAAAAAATTCTATAAAGAAACAACAAAAAAAGCATTTTGAGCAGTATATTCTACAAGAGGGAGTGGGAGTATTTTTTAAAATAATACTAAGATCACTTTATGCAAACAGACCTGACATTTCTTTCATGTGTTGCTGAAAATATTAAATCAAATCTCTGACTAATTAAATAAACAGTTTAAAATCAATCCACCCTATTCAATGGTAACATAAAATGTAAATTCCTCCAACTCTTATTAATGGTACTAAACCCTCTGAAAATATATGCAGCATACTACTCTTAGTCATTGGTGACATTTTTAATTGAGCTCACAGGGGAAGGAGGGAGGACTCTTCTCAATACACTCATCACACCTTTTCTTGTAAGTGCTAAAATTCTACCAAGCAATGCAAAAGGTACAAAATCTACTTTCTTCCTTCACAGAATCCTGTCATGTTCATCTTGAAAAGTGTTTTTCTAAATCTTCTTAATACTCACTTGGCAAAAGCATTTCTTCTGTTAATCTCTTTTTGGGAAGAAGCAGAAGTCGTACTGAAACTTCTCCTAAAACCTAAATGTCAAAGTTAAGGTCAAAAGAGGAAAAATAAATCACAAATTTGCAGTCCTCATTAAAAGGTATCTTTTATCATTTCTTCTATAGGTGTTCTATTCTATGAAATGTTTCTTTGGAAACAGAAAGCAAAGAAAGTTAAGTACATACAGAATATAATAGTGGTTTACATTTTTTTGACAATTTTTTATCTTATCTTTCTCATCAAACTATGCATATGCAAAAATAAGATCATGACATTCCATTTGGAGGTTTTTATTATAAAATTTCTTGAAAACCAAATAAAACTAAATTAGACACTGATAAAGCTGAATCTTTTTATTCTCAAACATTATAATCTTGATAAATCATATGAAAGGATAAAAACAAACAATGACTCATGGAACACTACATCAAAAACTAATGATGTAATATATGGTGATTAACATAACAATAAAAAATTTAAAGAAAAAAAATATTTCATGAAAGGTACATTTTTAAAAAGATGTCTTTAAAAAAGAGTAAGATTTCCAGTTCTGGAAAGTAATGGCAGACCAGATGTGCTGAATCCATCTCTTGATCAAAGCAAGTATAATTTTATACAACTATAATTAAAAATATATATATGCTGTTGAGCTGATACAAAGGCACAATTTCAAAGAGATGTACCACAGGATTGCCACTAAATTCTAGAGAACTTTGGCTTCTGCCTTACTGGCTGCACAGGAGACAGGAAAGGACATAAAACCTGGGACCTACAAAAGGGGGACTCTAACACAAGACTCCTGGTTAAAATGCAGATTCCAACCAGCTCACCCTCAATGTAAGTTTAAATAAGGAACAGAATGAAACACCATTCTGACAAAAACAAAACAAAGTGGCTTGTGTCAATCTTAATGCTGAGAAGGTGGCAAAATTTTCTCCCTTCAAAATTTGTGATCATAAGCCAAATTCATTTTATCTATGTAATAAAAAAAATTGCAGGGAATGTAAATTAAAGTAGTCCCAGGTTGGCAGTACCTCCAGGAATAACTGGCAGAAGTAAATATAACCTTCTCTGGAGGCATCAACCCAGGCCTCAAAGAATTCCTGCACATTAAATTATGAGTAGAATAAGCACCTCACAACAATAAATTACAAAATTCACAAGGAAAGAAGGTACCATAAGTTAGGCTCACAGAAACAGATTGGCAGAACCATAAGTTAGGCTCACAAAGACTTCAGACATGGAATTATTTAACATAAAAATAACAATATTTAAAATGTTTAAAGACATAAAAGAAAAACTTAAAAATATTGGGAAATAACAAGTGATAATAAATAACTACAAAACAGATTTGTGAAAAGGAAAAAAGAAATGAAAATTATATAACTAAAAACTTGGTAGTAGGATTAAACAGCACAATAAACATAGCTGAAGAAAGAATCAGGAAACATGAAAATAGAGCTAAGGATGTCTAGAATACAGTCCAGAAAGACCAAGGTGAAAAATATAAAAGAGGCATGGAAAAGTGAGAAAGTCTACTACACTATTCATCAGAGCTTCTGAAGGAGATAATAAAGAGACTGAAGGAGAAATATTTTAAGTATACAGACAAGAGTTTCACAGAATTGATCAAAGATACTAATTTCCAGATCCAGGAAGAGCCATGATACCAAACAGGATAATCAAAAAGAAATCTCCATCTAGACAACATCAGAGTAAAACTATACAACACTAAGGAAATAGAGAAGACCTTTAATGGCAGTCAAAAAGAAAGATAAATCACCTACAAAAGTATGGGTTAGGCAGATTCACAGCAGACTTCTCAAAAAAGTGACAGAAGATGAAAATAATAAGATTATATTGTCAATGTACAGGGAGACAACATCTTTCAAACTCAAATTTTCACCAACTGTTAGGTTTACCCAGTAAAACTATCATTAGAAAAGACAAAAACTGACAGACCCTTTCTAAAAGAAATTTCAAAAAATATACGTGTGGTAGGGGCACCTGGGTGGCTCAGTCGTTAAGCATCTGCCTTTGGCTCAGATCATGATCCCAGAGTCCTGGGATCAAACCCCACATAGGGCTCCCTGCTCAGCAGGGAGTCTGCTTCTCCTTCTCACTCTCCCTCTGTGCTCGCTTGTTCACTCTCTTTCTCTTAAATAAAATCTTTAAAATATATATACAGACACACACACACGTGGTAGGAACAGAATGATCCCAAGTTAAAGTTCTGAAGATTAAGGACTAAAGTCACTGGTAAATATGTGAGCAAATTAAATATTGGTTATTAATTATATTTAAAAAACTATTATAATAATGCAAAATTTGTGGGGGAAATAAAATAGAAACTGAATAACTCAGTTTCTAAGGATTTTCTATCACTTGGGAAAGAGTACACCTGATGATCAACTTTAGACTTTGCTAAGTATGTATGTTAAAGTACCTACAGTAATTACTAAGAAGTATGTTCATAGAGTATAACTTTCATTCAAGTAGAGAATGGAATGAGAACAAGAGGGGGTAGGAATATAACTAGAATAAAGTCAAGAAAGAGAACCACAAGTATAAAAAACTGAAAAGTAGCAAACAAATAGCATAAATAAATCCAAATATATGAGTACTTACAATAAATGTAAATAGGTGAAACTCTCAGGTTAAAAGGCAAACATTGTCAAATCATATTTTTTAAAGAAGTGAAATCCAACCATATTCTATTTATAAAATATTCCAAAAACATAAGGATATAGAAAAGTTACAAGACAGCTGATAGAAAAAGATGTATTAAGCAAATACTTGACCAAAAGAAAGCTGATATAAGGTAAAAGGAATTATTTAAAAAGCAATACCATTTACATTAACACCAAAAAATGAAATAGACTGGTATAAATCTAATAAGACATGTACAAAATCTATATGAGGAAAACTATAAAACTCTAATGAAAGAAATCGAATAAGATAGAGAGGTATTCCATGTTCATGGATAGGAAGACCCAATATCGTTAAGACGTTAGTTCTTCCCAATTTGATCTATACAATAAATGCAATCTCAATCCAAATCCCAACAAATTGTTCTGTAGATACTATTTGTAAAGTTTGTATGGAGAGGCAAAAAGCCCAGAATGACTAGCATAATATTGAGGGAGAAGATCAAGAAGACTGAAGAAACTTGAAGAATCACTATAAAGCTATAATAGTTAAGACAATGTGGTATTATGAAAGATAAATAGATCAACGGAATAGAACAGAGAGCCCAGAAATAGACCCACACAGATATAGTCAACTGTTCTTTGACAAAAGAGCAGAGGCACTTCAATGGAGAAAGGAGAGATTTTTTAACAAATAGTCCTAAAATATGCAAAAAAAAAAAATGAATCCAGACATAGACTTTACACCTTTCATAAAAATTAACTCCTTGGATCACTGATCTACAGGGAAAACACAAAACTATAAAACTCCTACAAAGATAACACAGGAGAAAATCAGGATGACATTGAGTTCAACGATGACATTTCCAATATAACACCAAAAGCACAATTCATGAAAAAAAAATTGATACCCTGGACTTCACTAAAATTAAAAACTTCTGCTCTGTGATAGACTGCTAAGACAATGAAAAGACAAGCCACAGACTAGAGAAAATGTTTGCAAAACACATTCTGATAAAGGTCTAGCATTCAAAGTATACAAAAAAACTCTTAAAACTCAACAATAAGAAAACAATGAACACAATTTTAAAAATGAGCAAAAGACCAGAATGAACAATTCACCAAAAATGGACAGATGGCAAATATGTGCAAAGATCTTAAACTTCTGTTATGAGAACTGTGCCCGTCATTCATATGCTAAAATCCTAACCCTCAGTGCCTCAGAATGTGACTGTATTTGGAGACGAGGCCTTTAAAGCGGCAATTCAGTTAAAATCAAATGAAATAGGTCAGCCCTAATCCAAGATGACTGGTGTCCTTAAAAGAAGAGATTAAGACACAGACACATACAGAGGGAAAGACTTTGTTAAGACACGGGAAGACCCCCATCTGCAAGGCAAAGCAAGTGCCTTAGAAGAAACCAACCCTGCCGCCAACACCTTGATCTTGGACTTTTAGCTACCAGAATTTTGAGAAAGTAATTCCTTTGTTTAAGCCACACCATCTCTGGTTCTTTGTTATGCTAGCCCTAGGAAACTAATACGTACGACATCATACATCATCAGGGAATTTCAAATAGAAACAACAATGAGATACTACTATAACCTATTACAATGGCAAAAATCCACAGGCCATAAAATTAATCTCAACAAATATTTAAGGACTACTTATACAAATCATTCTTACACAGATGGTTATCCTATGGAAAAAAATGTAATTAGACCCTCACTATATACAAAATCAATTCCAGGTGAATTGATAATTATGAAAAGCAAAAATACAAAACAAAACCTTTAGAAAGCAATATAGGAAAATATCTGTGTGGGGTTTGTTTTAGGAAAAGATTTCCTAAGATAAAACATGGAAAACATAATGGTTTGCTATTTTTTTTAAGATTTTATTTATTTATTTCTCAGAAAGAGAGTGAGAGCGTGCCCATGGCAGGCAGAAGGAGAAGCAGGCTCCCCGCTGAGCAAGGAGCCTGATGCAGGACTTGATCCCAGGATCCTGGGATCACGACCTGAGTCGAAGGCAGACGCTTAACCAAATGAGCCACCCAGGTGTCCCAGTGGTTTGCTACTCTGATTACTTAAAATTTTTAAATATCTGCTTATTAAAAGACATCAAATGGGTGGGGGGGGCAGGGGAGGCAAAAGACAAGTCGAAAACCAGGCAGGCAAGACATTCACAACACACAGGACTGGCAAAGTATTAGTGTCCAAAATATATTCAGAAACCTACAAATTAATAAGACAAACCAAAAAAAAGTGGGCAAGAGACTTGAACAGGTACGTCATAAAAGAGAAAATGCTTATGGCCCATCAAGAAGAAAAAAATGAGGTTCAACCTCATTTATAATCTGAAAAATGCAAATTAAAACCACGAGATACAATTTAAATCCATCAGATGGGCAAAGACTTCTCAATCAAACAGGACTAGTGTGAGATAAGGGGCTGCAGAGGCTCCCGTTCACTGCTCATGGGCACGTGCACTGCAAACAGTCTGCAATTACCTAGGAAGGCTGAAGGTCTGGATGGCCCATGCCTCGCAACCCTAGAGAAACTTCGGCAAAAGTGTGCAATAGTCTAGTTTGTAGTAGTAAAAAAACAAATGTAACACAAATATCCATCAAGTATAGGATGAATAATATATTTTAATGGAACACTAACAAAATAGCCAACAACAATTAAATATATATACATTTTATAATATATATTATTAATATATCTATACAGGGGTGATAAACATTTTTTTTTAAAATCAAGAGAATAATTAACATAAAATTCAAGACTCATAATCTGAGGACAAGGTATATGAGAATATAAAAAAATTGATGAATAAAAGCAAAGGAATAATTATTAGGAACATAAAACAGTGTAAACCTACCAGGATAAGAATGATTCTGTTTATTCGAAGAAATTTCTGAAAGAGTATCCAGGGAATCTGTTACCCTGTGAATAAAACAAACCTATTTAGCAAACCTCATCAGAAGAAGTAGCAGGTCTTCAGATTTAAGATTGCCTCTTAACTGAGGTTTTCACACCAGTGGTTATTTCTTATTTCACCTATTCAACAAACATTTATTGAGCATCTATTAGGAGCCAAGAATGAACTTCAGGCTAGCACTGAAGACGGGCACTAACAAAAACAGAAGAGATCATTGTTATCTAAGGATGAGTAATGCAGAAAAAGTCAACTTAAAGTAAATTCACTTAAAATAGAGACCTGAGTTTATTTCTTTGGAACCTGTATCTTCCAAAATGAAACTTAAAAATCTGAAAATAAATTTGTTTTATGTTAAATTTAACAAATGTTCGATCAGAATTATAAAAACATCACATTCTTAAATTGAAAAAAAAATACTGACTCAGTCTGCGTATGCATGTAATTTTCTGATAAAATTGCATGGCTAAATAGAATCCAACATCTTTTACTTTATATTTGACTCTCAGCACAACCATAAAGGTAACTTTCCTGCAGGTCTGTCTGTATTTTTTAATATTCAAATCATTCTTCATTGTTAAAAAGCCAATCCTCACAGTTTCATTTTCTTTCAGTTGTTTACTGACCTGACCCACAAAGCCTTCATTCTGTCACCCACTTTCTGCAGGACACTTGGTCACCATCCAGAAACCCTGCAACTCTCACAATATCTGCAATTCCATCTTGCACTTCATGTGCATCATTTTTACATGATATACACACTACGGCAATCAGTGAGAGACTGATGGACGCAAATAGGACTTGATGAAGAGGACAGATAAGTAGGTGGTGATGGGTAGTTGAGAAGAACTTAATTCTAAAAGTGATCAGTTCATTAATAATAAGTACCTAATCGTGAGAACTAAGAATAAGAAAATTAATACTGTGCTGATGAAGACCACCTAAGCAAAAAATAGGTAAGTAGGTAGAGAGATAAGATTAGATCTAGTCAGTAAGTCTTCTTGGAATTTCTGCAAAGAAATACCGGATGATTTATATATTAACAGAAAAAAAGGTATGAACTCAGTGAAAGCTGGTGACAGTAAGAAAGCTATCCAAGCAGAGGAAATAACACTTGCGCAGATTCTCACAGAGGAGGCACGTTGGTTTTTCCTCAATGGAAAGGAGGGGAAAGAAGACAACTAGAGTCTGGGAGGAGTGGGATTGTGATTGGTCACTTTATTAAGACTGTCCTCAAGCAGTCCTTAGTTTAAAATTCTTTCTTCTCGCAGATCAGTGGTGTCTTTCAAGAGCTCTAAAGCTGGTTTAAATTAGAAATTCCTCAAAATCAGGGACCATGTCTTTTTATTTGCTTATAGAATGCCTAGCACAGCACAAAGTGCTAAAAGACACTTAATAGTATTTGATGATGATGAATGAGACAATCAGAAGATGACAGGCAGACAGCTGGATTGAGACAGCAGTTCATTTAGAGAGAGAGCCCTGTATCTTCTAAGAAGAGGGGGGTGCTTTTAAATAAATCACCTTAAAGAAGACCAAATAGAAGGCGAGGGGGGAAAAAAAAAAGGTAAAAACCATGTGTTCCATAAACAAAGCAAGAAAAAGAACATGAAACCATGAGAAAGAAAGTGGCTTCATAATATAAAAGGAGGAAAAGCTGTTACAGCATAAAAAAACACTGCACTAGATTTGGTCAGTATTTACTGTGTCTAAAATATGCCAAACTATGTCCTCTGGGTAATCAAACATAAAATGAAGAACTCCAGTCCTCATGACTAAGAGACAAATAAAATTCGTAAGAGACTATAGCAATGTGTTAATGAAGATTTGTCCAAAGCATTAAGAGAACCCAGAAGACTGGGGACTCCAGCATGGACTTTCCCCTCAATCAATCAATCCAGAACACATCGGTCCTAAAGAAAGTCAGCAACCCTCTTTTAATCATTACAGGGTACTGGTTAAGAACATAACTTCAACTACCTGGGTTCAAATCTCCACTTGGGAGCTGTGCACACTTGCATAACTCACTTAACCTCCCTGTGCCTTACTTTCCCCCACTGTGAACTAGAGATAATTACAGGACCTGACCCAGAGGGAGCTTCCAAGGTGTGAACAGTGCATGCAGCGCTATTAACTGCTGACACACAGAAGTGCTGTGTGTTGGCTACGGCTTTTTCTCTATTTACAAAATGCCTACCACAAAACAGCAAACTATCTAAAAGCAAGGGCTTAGGAGAAACAAAATAACAAATCTGGGCTGAGTCCAGCTCCATCATTAACTAGTGTAAGACAGATCAAAATACGCCACTCCAAAACATGCCACTCTGGCAGAAGGATTATTTTGAGCTAAAGACATTTGAGAATCAACAAATGCAGGAGGATGAATGGATAAAGAAGATGTGGGATATATATACAATGGAATATTATGCAGCCATCAAAAGGAATGAGATCTTGCCCTTTGCAGCGATGTAGATGGAACTGGAGGGTGTTATGCTGAGTGAAATAAGTCAATCAGAGAAAGATATGTATCATATGACCTCACTGATATGAGGAATTCTTAATCTCAGGAAACAAACTGAGGGTTGCTGGAGTAGGGGGGGAGGGATGGAGTGGCTGGGTGATAGACATTGGGGAGGGTATGTGCTATGGTGAGCGCTGTGAATCGTGCAAAACTGTTGAATCACATATCTGTACCTCTGAAACAAATAATGCAATATATGTTAAGAAAAAAAAAGAAGAAGAAGATAGCAGGAGGGGAAGAATGAAGGGGGGGAAATCGGAGGGGGAGACGAACCATGAGAGACAATGGACTCTGAAAAACAAACGGAGGGTTCTAGAGGGGAGGGGCGTAGGAGGATGGATTAGCCTGGTGATGGGTATTGGGGAGGGCACGTTCTGCGTGGAGCACTGGGTGTTATGCACAAACAATGAATCATGGAACACTACATCAAAAACAAATGATGTAATGTATGGTGATTAACAATAAAAATTTTAAAAACCAACAACAAATGCAGGAAGAGGCTTTCTCTGAACTCTCCTTATCTGCCTAAAACAGGTGCTCCCAAAAAAGAACTCTTCTGTCCTATATCCGCTCCCCAGCAGTTTCATCAAGGAGGGAAGACCGACTCTTCTCATAGGTGAGGAGCTGGGAGGTTAATACCACATCACAAACTATCTTATCTCCCACCCAGCTAGCTTCCCTAAAAACCATGTGCCCTCCCACAAGTGGCCTTTTTCTCCCTCCCTTTCTCCTACTCAGATGGTCTACAAAAACACCAATCTCACCACTTATATGGGTATTCACTTCTTTCCATGATGCCCAGGTGCATGCAAATTTAAATGTAATAAATTTGTATGCCTTTTCTCCTGTTAATCTATCTGTTGTCAATTTAATTCACGGACAACACCCCCCACAACCCCCTCATCAGCTACTGACCCTAAGAGGGCAGAGGAAAATTTTTTGCTCCCCTATGCTAACTATATGACTTTAGTTAAGTCACTTTATCTCTTGAAACTTTTCTTCACTGGCAAAATGAAACAACTATAATAACTTACAACTCACTGGGTTTGAGAGGGATTAATGAAATATGCATCTAAAGTACACTGTACAGAGCCCACCATTTACTAAATGCTCAATAAATGTTTGTCATAATTACTGTTATTTTCCAGCTTACCTGACTCAATACTTATTAGAATCAAATGAAACAACATTCAATTGAAGATACTTCATACACTGCAAAGCATTACATATGTTCAATACCATACTGTCATAAATAATGAGAAAAAAAGTACATCAAGTACATCAAAGAAGGAAATTAATACAAAAATTATGTGAAATTATTAAGAAAAACAAAGTGAGGTGGAAGACAGACCTAAAAAAAACTCTAAAATCTGCCAAGAGGCAGTCACACAGCCTAGGTAGAAGGGAACTAGATGGGGCTCTGGGATGTGATGGCAGATCCGTTCTCATGAACGTGATTACACCATATATGTTCTTTCCTATTTAAAGATTAGCATCCCATTTCCCCTGCACGGAAAAGCATGCCAAGCCAACTTCTCTCAGCACATAAGTCATTTCACATAATGGTACCTGGGATTTCATGAGAACTTGTTTCTGCTCAACTTGTTTTTTTAAAGCCAGAGTGAGCTGGTCCAGAAGTGTACCATCTTAAGGAGAAACACCGAGGAGGTACATTATATATAAATCCTTAAAGCTTCACTTCCCCCGAAGATCTACTGCCTATCTATTTTTGAAAACTAAAGAAATCAGAGGAAAAAGCCATTTTGGTTCCATTAGGTTTGGAGGAGAATGAATGGGGTGCCTGCTGGCAGGAAATTTAATGTAGTTAGGATGTGACTGAAGCAATCAGAGAGCATTTTTACTTTTGTTTGCATGACAGATTAAGCTTGCTGCTCTCACTGTTCTTAGCAGCAAACGCCACTTGTAATAGCCTACACAAACTCATAGGGTTTGCAAATGAGGAATAAAGGAGGGTTTTAAAATTGCAAATCCTCAGCAAAGCAAATTTAGCTTTCCATGAGCCTTCTCTCTGAAGAAGGTGGTGGGTTAACCCCTTGAAAGAAGACATGAGCTGTAGTCAGTGCCTGTCTTTAATATAAAATGAGGAACTCTAACTATAAACCACTGCAAATTACAAAAAGGCCTTGTGAAAAAGCATAAATTTCCTTTTTCTCACCTTTGTACCCTGGATGGGGGAGCAAATATTCCATATCTTGGAGAACAACTAAAGTACTGCACACCTCCAACTGAACCATCATTCTTGCCATGGGGTTTCTCAAGCTCTATACCGTACCAATATCCTAGAACAAGAATATTGGATTTTAAAAGCATCCGCATTTCACCCAAAATGGTTATGCTATTATACAAACCCAGAACCCGAATGGCTTAACATTTTCACAAAATGACCAAAATGATGGAAGAGCATCATGATCGTTGAGCTTTCAAATGATAAAATTTGAAAATTTGAAAAAATGAACAGGAAAAACATTTTACAAGCACAATTACAGAGTTGTACATTAAAGGAGAGAGATAAAATACACAAATTTGGCACGACTTAGCTATTATGCAAGTAGTGTTATGACCACAGCACATCTACAAGCTATAATGAAAAAGAAACTGCCCTTGACTCAGTGATACAGCGCGTTTCAGTGAGAGCAGCACAACACAACACTGAGCCGTATGGATCATAAAGTGCGTGTGCAACCTTCTCCTTTCACTCTCCCAACATTCCAACATCACAGACTGTCCTTAAATAATTAAGGAAGGACAAAAGTAACATGGAAAATATGATTAGACTTCAGGGTGACTCTTCTTTTTCTCTTTTTGTTTTCCCACCCAGGATAAAAAGAAAAATCATAATACTTAACCCTAGTGAAAAGATTTAGATTAGCTAGTAGGAAGAATTTTCTAAAAGGCTTATTTTAAGTATGTAAAAGGACCCACTCTGAGGAAAATAATAGGACCTCCTTTTCTAGAGGGCCAAAACTAAAGCAGTGAGGTTGCTTTCAGTGTGGTGAGAATTAGGTAGATGGACATACACTCCTAGTCTAAGTGTATACATACATACTCCTGGAATAAAGATTCTCAAACGGAGGGTACCACAAGACCAGTTAAAAATGTCTAATGATCCATTCATTTTTATGTAAAAGGAGAATACAGTAGTAATTGCATCTGGTCTCTTACAATCAGTATCAAATAAAAAATAAGAATACAGATGTTGAGAAACTTATTGCAAATTCCAAATTCCAAAATACAAAAATACTGTTTCTTTCAGATGACTAATTCAAAGAGTCTATATAACCTCAAAAATGGCAACCTAGAAGTTCTCCAGTCTTTTCCTCTTCTGTTCAAAAAGACCCTTGAGCCCACTTCTCAGTACTTTTGCACTGAAAAGACTAATGAATGACCGCAGTCCTCTATACTTAAACAGCATACGAGTACAGAGTAATGTAAACAAACTTACTTCTTAGCCATACTAATGCTCTGGAAATAGGTCATCACATTTCTGAATGTCATTAACCAAGGTTGTCTGGTTGCCATTTTTATTTCTGAGTGCCACAGTTACAATGTTCAATGGTACAATGTACCATATAATGGCAATACATTTACCATATGACTCTTGAAAAAGTATAACATCCCACAGAAAGACATGACAAGTGTTAACAATTGTGACTACACCTTGTCTGGTAGTGGTGAGGTATGTATGGCTTTCCACTTAAATGGTAATTTTTTTTCCAATAAAAAGGCTAAAGAGGCTAAAAATGACGTACTTCAGGTCTAGATCTTATAATCTAAAAAGCTTCAATGAATCAGCACTGTTCTCTAGAACTGACTGATCTAAATTTTGATGCCACAAGACATACATGCTACTAATTTCTAAAAGGACAGAATGACTTTAACAGAAAAGTTTCCAACTTTACGTTTGCTTATGACTACCCAAATTTCTAAATGCTTAACCTTAGGAATTTAAAAATTAAAAGTCAACCTAAAACAATGAATTGCATCCAGTGACCCAAACCACTCTAACCTTGTTTTAATATAGAAAAAGGGAACTCAAAAGGCATGGAGATTGTGAAATATACCCCACCTTTGGGGTCTTAAAAGTTTTTATTTGAGAACTATATTAAGACCATCCTAACTCATCTCAATTACTACCTGGAGATCTGTGAGAGACATGAATTATACAACACACAGCCCATCTCAAATCAATTAGCTGGATTGCAATTATAAGTAGTATAATGAAACAAGACTGTGCTGGGAGACAAGTCTCCGTGGCTCGCTCATGTTTCTGCATGTCTTATGAACAAAGGCACTGTCTTTCCATGGATGTCTGCACAGAGGACAGCCTTGGAGGACAGAGACAGGGTGCGGGCCGCATGCCCCACCCAAAATACAGGCATGCGTGTTGTCTAATATACAGGTTCAGATTCCTTAAGCTCAGGGCTCTTCTCCTGTAGCATAAACCACTGGGTGCGCAGGTGTCACCTCCCCGCCCCCACCCTGGGAACTGGGGCTCAGGAAGCAAGTGCAAGAAAATGCTGACCCTCTGCTTCTGCCGCTGCTGGGACTCCAGAAGTCCTGTCCTTGAATCAGGAGCCTAACGTCTTCCATTAGCATCTATGAAACTGGCAATCTAACTTGTCAGCTTATACATGTAAGGTAAAATCTCAGATCCTTCACAGTTCTTGACAGAAGACCACAAATTTAAAATCAATGTTCTGGGTAACCTTTTCCTAAAATGCTGCAATGCCACCATGTGTCAAAATAGCATACTGCCATTTAAAATACACAAACATGGTTTCAGTCAACTGGCTTCTATATTTAAAATTAAAATCACTGAAAATACAAAAGAAAGCTAATCTTTACTTCTGGAAACACAATATTAAGTCTAGATTGGAATGACTATGTAAATACACAAACATGTATTTTTAAGGTCCCAGGGTACACAGAAGCTTTTCATTTTCCCTCAAACCTGTCTGTTGGCTTTTCTTTCCAAGCCACTCAGATAAAAGCTATATGCTGTGAACTCATTTTAAGAATATCCTTAGCAATTTACCCAAAGGATACAAAAATACTGATTCAAAGGGGTACATGCATCCCGATGTTTATAGCAGCATTATCAACAGTAGCCACATTATGGAAAGAGCCCAAATGTCTATCAGCTGATGAATGGATAAAGATGTGGTATAAATCCCCTGGAATATTACTCAGCTATCAAAAAGAATGAAATCTTGCCATTTGCAACGACATGGATGGAGCTAGGGTGTACTACGCTAAGCGAAATAAGTCAGAGAATGACAAATATGATTTCACTCGTATGTGGAATTTAAGAAACAAAACAGATGAATATAGGGGAAGGGAAGAAAAAAAAAGGAGGCAAACCATAAGAGACTCTTAACTACAGAGAACAAACTGAGGGTTGCTGGAGGGAGGGAGGTGGGGGGTAGGGTGGATGGGGGAGGGGGATTAAAGGAGGACACTTGTGATGAGCACTGGGTGTTACGTGTAAGGGATGAATCACTGAAGTCTACACCTAACACCAATTTTACCAATCATGTCAACTAGAATTTAAATATAAAACTGAAATTAAAAAAAATAACCTTAGCAAAAATCTAATCCTGGTATCTTCTCTCTGTTATTGAGCATGCTTGGCAATCAGTGAGCATGAAGTTGGAGAACGGCCACGAATTTTAACATTAGACAATTTAAAATACAACCGAGATTTCGCGGATGACAGTCAGCCCGAGTCCAGTCAGTGTTTCCATCACTGTTTGGCTTTGTCGGTGCCATAGATAACTAACATCCACAAGAACTGTTCATCAGGAATTCCCTACATGTAAAATTTTAAACCTTTTGTATTCTGAAGTGCTCAAGCTGAGCCAAGAATATACAGATGAGTTACCTGGAGCAAAGTTTGTTGTCCCGAAGAACTTAACGGTGCCGATTCTCTGGCCTACCACCAGCACTCTATCTCCGAGGTGGGGCTCTCCTGCACAGCGGCTGTTATTTGCTACAGATGCTCCTGAGGAATTCAAACCTGTTTAATTGGTTGGTGGGGAAAGGGGAAGGGGCAGGAAAAGAGAAGGGAAAATAGCAAAGGGGAAGAAAAAAAAAACCAACCTCAAAAAGTATATTAGCCAAAAAATCACCACGTGTTTCTAACCAGTCTAGCTAGTTGAGAGATTTCAATGTATGACACCTTTCATGATACACATCACCTACAGCTGTGGCTCTCACGTGTGAGGTCAAGACATTCAAGGAACTTGTGAAGGGTTTCCTGAAAAAGTTATTGCCATGAGAACCTGACACGCACATGGTTCCTGGTAAAGCATCAATTCTACCCAGACTGCCTGGGGTGCACTTACTCGAACAGAGGCCAACACGCTTTTTCTGCAAAGGGCCACTGAGTGAGTACGTGAGGCAATGCGGCCATACCATCTCTGTCATAACTACTTGGTTCTGCTACCCTAGCACAAAAGCAAAACAAGGCCTGGTACGTTCCAGTAAAAACTTTACAGAAATAGGGGGCAGGTTGGATTCGGCCCACGGGCTCTATTGTACCAATCCCTGTTCTGCTAAAATGCTAGAATTAGAGTCGTTCATTGGGACTCAGTGTGAATTATATATTCAGGAATGTGATCTGAACGTGATCTGAATGTGAAAATTGCTCTAAGTTTCCAATTAGCTCCAACTGATTTCCTTCTTAGGAACCAAACCAGTCCCCCTCACCTTGATTCAAACCTAATCCCTAAAATGCCAACTATCAAACATCCTAGAGAAATGCTGTCTGGAAAGCTGTTCAATTATAACAGAAAGTGGGCCCTTGAGGCTTCTCCCATCAGTCCATAAACAGACTTGAACAGCCATCATCTGGGAAGGCCTACAGAAGCCTCTGTGAAGACAGGGGACAGAGGATAAGTCACACCGCCAATGGGAGAGAAACTAAAGCCATGGCAACAAATGAGGAACATGAACCCAGAGAGAGGGGCAGGGGTGGATAAAGCGCTATACTAAAAAGTTCTAGGTCCTCATAATAGCTAATATTTCTAATGCACTTCAGAATTTACAAAGTACTTTCCATAGAATTACAACTATGGATAAGACACAGACTCAGGAATTAACTAAGACATGGTGTTCACAGGTAGTCGATGGCACACCCGGACGAGAGCCCGGGGCTCTACGACCACAAGTCCTCAGGCGGGTCCCCAGGCTGTGTAATGGACAGCATGTTTGATCATGGGATACGACGACGCTGAGAACACACACCTCCCCTACCTCTGCCATTCCCCTCATCTGTTCTTTCTGCTCTTTATCCTCACTTGCCAGTATGTTCACATCCCTCAAATGCAAATCTATGGAGAAAGTGAAATACCTACTCACTCTACAAAAGTGTCCTAGGGAAATGTCTCTGAGGTCCCAAACATGGACTTCCCCTCACGGATCTCCCATTCTCTCTCCCTCCCCTCCTAAAAGGCCTTCTTGCTCATTCTAATTGACAGGTCTCTTCATCTACTGCTATCTAAGCCTATATCAGGCTTAAATTTATAAAAAGGGTAAAAAGGTTAAATACATAGGTACACTAGAACTACTTCTTATAAAAGTAAAACAGGTACTTCCATACGCACATATAAATTTTAAAATCACGTAAATGTCAAAAGCCCAAATTCCAAGTGAAGGAGGCCTTGTACTGTGAATAAAATGAGGACAAGCAGGAATGCTATACCCCTGTCTCGGTAGCTCTGTTCTTCAGGGGGCTAGACAGAAACTGCTCACAGGGGAAGGAGCGCCTACACTGAAAATACAAGTTCCAAGTAAACAATTTCAGGCAAAACTTCTAGGTTCTCTGCTTTTAGAGTCCCACCATATAGGTTTATTACGTCAATGCTATCGCTGAGGGCTCCTCCCCATCACAGTACAGTATTTTAAAGAGAAAAAACAAAAAACAAAAAACCTGTCATAAACATTTTCTATATTAAAATACTCCTTCAGTATAACTGTTAAAAGTACGTGAATGAGAGTCTTATTATGAGGCTCAGTGAAAACAATTTATGCCAAAAGGGTTTCATTTTGTTTCCGAACAAGTTTGCTAGGTAGCCAAATGAGTGAACGACAGTATGTTTCATATATGTTGATTTCGGCAAGATGTCTGCTATGAAGTGCTTTCTATATCCTTACATGTAACTGGAGAAATGTGGACTGAACAAGGTTACTCAGGACTCGCCACATCCCAGTGGGTTACCATCATCCACCTGTCAGGAGAGCCAGTGACCCTCTCCTACCTAGTGTTAAACAAGGACTTGAACTTCAAATATGAAGATGACACAAAAGTATGTGGGAAAGCTAGTATTCAAGGTGTAAGCAACAGAATGCAAAGGGGTGAAACCCCTAACATTCAACTAAATGAGAATGCAGATAAGTCCTAAGTGAAGCGGCAATAAGAAGGGCCCCGGCCGGAGGCTCCTTCGGAGCCAGGATGACGGTGTGGTCGCCACATTGCAGGAGGGGCCTCACACTGTGCTGTGCCCACGGGCAACGGTTCAGCTCTCCAGGGGCTGGCCGTGAGGGGTCTGGAGACCCAGGAGCAGGAGGAAGAGTGGAAGGTACTTGGGATGGAGGCAAAACCTAACAGCAGCCGAGGAAGCAGCAGACCGACCTCAGGCTAAAGCCCAGGCGTGCCACTTAGAAACTGCCATCAGGCACCAATGACTTACCTCCCCTAAGCCTCGGGTCCCTCATTCATAAAATGAGGGTGAGAATAACAGTACCTACCCAAAGGTTTGTTTTGAGAATTAAGTGAAATAAGGTATGTAAAGTGCTTAGAATGAAACAATAAGTATACAATAAGTGTTAGTTATTATTAGGTCTAGATTAGAAAAGAGATAAGAAAGATAATAACCACATGGTTTCCACATATCTGAGGATCTATCATAAATTTCTAAAATGAACCTTACAGGGTCAGAGGCGTTACATGCATGTGGTAGGGAGGAAGTCAGTCCAGACAAAGACACGGCAGGAGCACGGGGAGGGAGGCAGGGGACCAAGGACGCTCACAAGAAGGGAGGGGCACGGGCAAGACAGAAGAGTACAAGTAGTTCAATCTGACTGAAGTAAAACGTTCCTTCTACACATTTAAAAAGAGCAAATCTACTTACAAACAAACCAAGATAAAAAACACCAAGAAAGCCTGGTTGAAAAAGCCATAGATACCAGCACTGGCTCTAGAGGAGACAGACGGGCTTTTGCTCATTGTCTTCTTGTTATTGCTACGTGCATTCAGTTTCTTGGGGTAGCTCGGTTTGTGTTCCAAAGATGATGTGGAGGAGGAGCTGCTGCTGGGTCCAAGCAGGGTACCTAAGACAGGTGAAGGAAAAGAACACAGCGAAGGGTGGGCGGTAAGAAGTGAGCCAGTAAGATGTTTCCCAGGTAAATCCCTCTGAAACCCTCCATTTAGCTTTCTCAGCTGTGGAATATCTAGTGTTGAATTAAATGCCTGGTTTCATCCAGCTGTCCTGTAGTTCATACAGACAAGACTTTATCAGCCAAGCTATTGTACTGTAAGGGTTCATGCTGCACGAGGACACTCTCACACAGGAGAGCACATCCGGGTTCACTGAAACTGACTACCTCCCTATTCCCCCCACACTCTCTCTCACCTCCCACTTTAGATGGCTCAGTACAATCCAATCTTATTTACACGTAAAAATTCTATTAATTTAAGATAAAAAAAGGTAGTATTAAAATGTTTTGAGTTGGGGCGCCAGGGTGGCCCAGTCATTAAGCGTCTCACCTTCGGCTCAGGTCATGATCCCAGGGTCCTGGGATCGAGCCCGCATCGGGCTCCCTGCTCAGCGGGAAGCCTGCTTCTCCCTCTCTCCTTGCCTCTTCCCCCTGCTTGTGCTCTCTCTCTCTCTCTCTCTCAAATAAATAAAATCTTCTAAAAAAACGTTTCGAGTTAACCTGAAGGCAAGCAGGAATACTCTTGAATGTGTTGTTCATGCTCTATTCACCCAATGATTTGACAGCTGAAGGCAATTTTAAACATTTTTATCAAGCCATCTATACTTGGAATTTGCTTTTAGTCTCCCATTTAAATTAACCTGGTAGCTCTCTAATGTAAGTGTACACAGAGGCACCACATAGCATTGTATACCAAAACCACATACACACTTTACGATGAGTTGCTTAAGGTATTTCCGAGGATAATTTTTTACTGCAATGATTTTTCTCTCAAAAACACTAAAACTTAGCCCCCATATAAGCTTTATCACTATGTTATTTTGAAGTTCCATCTGTAAACTAAACTTTTAGAATGGAAGTTATAAAATTATTTTACCATCTTTCTCTGTTACAGGTTTCGGTTCTTCACCAGGAGGCAATGAAAGTGTTGATTCAGAAGCGCTATCTTTTTTTGAAGTCATTAATCCTAGCACATAGAAACAAAACATGTTCAGCAAGAAAGAACTTCAACATTAAACACACAAATGTACTTGCTGTTTAAAGTACAGACATCCCTCATTATCTAAATCTTCTCCACTTCTGGAAACATGCCGGATAGTAAATTCACAGAGAGCTGGGGCCGATCCAATATTTCATTACGTGAAGAGGCGGGGGAAAAGAATGCATTCTCAGCCCCTCTGAAAACCTCAATCAATTTCCTCAAATACCACCAAGGTCTCTTTTAGAACTATTTAACAATCCACTAAGGAATTCTAAATTCTATAAACAGTTAAAGCCAGCTACCTAGCTGTTTGACACTTCACACACTCATGAGTGTGTCCGCACAACGCCGGCAGGTAGAGAGCAAAACTCACGCAGCTCTAGGACAACCACCGTACACGGACCAGGACTTGCACACAACTCACAGATTTTACTCATGTGTCTGCAAATCGGTTACAGCAGAGTTTCTACTTAGATAGTGAATTCTGGGTAAAAATTTTGCAAACCATCGTAGCCACTCATCATGCAAACGAACGTGAAACAGGAAGAAGCCCCACACTCTCTCCCCTCGGCGCTCTGACGGCGACAGACCCGCTAGCGCCACACCCAAGTGTCACGAACAGACTCACTTTAAAAAGAAGCCCACAAATAATACTTCGCCTTATGAAGACTTCTGTTTCCATTCTACAGAACCAAATTATTTAAATAGGAAACCTAACGGACTCCACCCAGTTTTAAATTCCATCAAGCACCCATTTCAATTCTTCTCACTTAGGAAGCATCTGAGTGAAGTACTATCCTTGGCACTCAGCAGCACCAGCAGGAACGAGACATGGTCCCAGCCCGAAAGGAGCACCTTTCAATTCAGAATGGTAGAGTGATGTAAGCATGAATAACTAAAGTATGAGGACATTTATTGATAAAGCACTAACACAGAGGAAAACGACAATAATTGTGGTTACAAAGATAAATTAATATCTCATCAAGGAGATCACATTCTGAGATATGTCTTGAAGGACAGGTAAGACTTCCAGGGGCACCTGGGTGGTTCAGTCAGTTAAGTGTCTTTCTCCAGCTCAGATCATGATCTCAGGGTCCTGGGATCGAGCCTCACACTGGGCTCCCAGCTCAGCAGAGAGTCTGCTTCTCCCTCTCCTTCTGCCCCCCCATGGTCGGTCTCTCTCTCTCAAATAAATAAAATCTTAGAAAGAAACAAAGAAGAAAGAAAAGAAAAGAAAAGAAGAAAAGATAAGAGAAGAGAAGGCAAAAGAAGAAAAGAAAAGAAAAGAAAAGAAAAGAAAAGAGAAAGAAAGAAAAAAGAAAGAAAAGAAAGAAAGAAAGAACAAGATAGGCATTCTAGACGGACAAAAAGAAAAGAAAAATCTGAAGAACAGGGTCAGAGATGGAGAAGTAGCATGGCTGGAATAAAGAGTATTTTTGGGATGTTGGGAGAAGTAAGACTGGACAGACAGGTCAGAGTGAAACCTCAAAGGAGGACAGTGCCAGATAAGGACCTGGTCTTCTTGTGGAAGGAGTGGGCCTCTGATGGACTTGAACGGGGCTGGGAAATAACATCACCCTGACAGTAAAGTTTAGAAGGAAGTGAGAGGGGCAGGGGAAGGAAGCATGGACCAGGGAGAAGCTCTTACTGTAGGTGGAATGAGGACCAGAGTGACAACAGCAGGAACTGAACAGAGGGGTGGGTAAGAGAGACTCTGTGAAGGCACCCCACGGAGTGCATTTCTTATTTTTCAGTTATAGTTCTCAGTTTTAACATGTCCATTTGGTTCTTTCTTACTTGAATTTTTTAATTGAGTCACAGGAGATTCACATGCAGTTGTATAAAGTAATACAGGGAGATCTCTTGCACACTTTGCCCAATTTCACCAAAGGTAATTTTTCATATAACTATAGTATAACCCCACAAGCAGGACGCCAACACTGATCCAATCCGCCAATCTTAGGTCACCCCAGTTCTAACCAAGCTCCTTTGTGCATCCATGTGCAGGTGCATGTGTGCTCACACATCATTTCTTTTTTATATCCTCATTTCTCTGAACTTTCTTTCCACTTCTTTCAAGAGTATTAACCTTAATTCTTAAAGAATGGTTAATGTATTATTTAAAGTCTCTATCTGTGTCATGTCTGTGTCCTGTTAGGGTTGGCAACCTTTAACTGTCTTTTTCCTTGAGAGATGTTGAGATTTTCCTGGTTTTTCTATTTTGAGCAATTTTGGATTGTATCCTGTACACTTCGAATATTACACTGTGGGACTCTGGGTCTTACTTAAATTCTACAGAGAATGTTTATTGTTTTGTTTTGTTTTGTTTTATGAAGGAGTCAACCCAAACCAGTTCAGGCTGGACATCCCTAACCACCTCCTGTGCCCTGTGGTTCCAATGTCAGTTCAGTTTCCAAAGACTCTTTGGGATCTAATCTTATGATTTGCCATCCAGCAGTGCCTGGGACCTGGGCAGCGGTCTACCCCGGAGACCAAAGCCTGTGGTCAGATCCACACATGCACCACTGGAGAGCAAGCCCAGGAGTTCACACCCAACATTTTGAGATCACTTTCTTGAGCTCCCTGCTCTCCATGGTCTCCCTGTTACTTTCTTGCTCCCGGAGGCATCCCTTCCCGGTATCTGGGCAGGATGCCTAGGCTTTGATTTCCCTGCTCTGTCATACAGTCTCCCAGGACTGACTCTGCCCCTGGGAACAAGCAGAAGACAAACCATTGGGGATTCCATCCCTGTTCTTGGGGCCACAGTTTCTCTGGTCAGAGAGAAGTGTTCCCCTCCCGTGGGGTTTCAGGTGCCTCACCACCTACCGCTGCTGTTGCACCATGCAGGACTGCCTAGGGACCAGCATGGGAATGGACCAAAGGGGGAAAAAAAAGCTATCATTAAAAAAAAGGGATTTCCTCTATTTTCTGTCTAGTAGGGGACCCCTTCCCTAATCCTTAGACCAGAAATGGAGGGCTTCTCTTTGGGCTTTCTTTCCATGATGGCTGTGAACTTCTGGGTTTCAGGTTAAAAGGATACCATTTACAATTGCATCAAAAAAGTATGAAGTATCTAGGAACAGACCTAACAAAACTGGTACAAAAAGAGCTGTGGAGAAAATGAGAAAATCTTATTGACATATTTTTAAAGGACCTAATTAAATAAAGCAATATTCCAAGCTTACAATTAAAAGACTGAATATTGTAAAGATGTCAGTTCTTCCCAAATTGACTTATGGTTTAAATGCAAAACCAATAAAACTTTAGCAGATATTTTTTTAAAGAAACTTAACAGCTTATTCTAAAATTTATAGGGAAGTATGATTTATAGTGATCCAAACAGGCAAGACACTGTATAAGAATAAGCTAGGAAGCTTTCCTCTACTAGGTATCAAGATGTATTTGTTAAAAACTCTAGTAGTTATGAAGTACAGACTGACACAGAGATATTCAAATAGCTCAATGGAAGAGAGCAGAAAGGCCAACCAATTCTTGGACAAAATCCTTGAATCATGGTAGAAAGCCTTTCTGCTTCAGCCACTGGTAAGTTAGCAAGTACTTACTGAGCACGTATTTTGTGCTATGTACTACTACGGTGAATACCAAAGTAAAAATTACTCTCACAGTCCACTTAAAGTTTAAAATTCTGCTGAGAGGATAAAGATCTGCACAAATGAAGCAACCAGAGGACACGACCCGAACTAACAAATAATTGTGTGGTGTGGATACAAGTGTACACAAGGGTGGACATAAGGGAGACATTAAAGGGATCTGGGTCCCCAGGGAAGTCTTCTTGGAGAAAGAGCATCCAAATAAGGAGGTAAAGCACAGTAAGGGCCTCAAAATGCAGAAGTCAAATTACTGTACTCAGAGAAATAGCACGAGACGAAGTACAGAGGACAAGGAATCACAGTTCAACTATGGAGGTAGCCAGAGACCCCATTACATACAGGAAGGACTCAGACCACCAGTTTAGAGAGTCAGGACTTCTTCGGATTAAAAAGAAGTCACTAAAATTCTTGAATAGGGGAGAAACATAAAGCTAGTTGTGTTAATAAGGATTTATCGGAGGTATAAAATTGAGCTTGGAGTTTAGGGGGTGATGAAGGTATGCAGGTAGTAGGAAAGAAAGAAAAGAAAGGAACAAATGTAAAATACTCTTGTCAGGAATCAAAATCATAAACCATGACTGACATTTAAAAACATGTAAGATGCAGATTTTATTAAATTCAGGTTCCAGAGTCGTCTAACAAAAAAAGTGTGAAGCACACTAAACATAAGGCAGACTGCAAAGGGAAGAAGAGACTTAACTTTCTGGTTTGACCTACCAGTGTTTACTTTTGACGTTACATGAGTTACATCAATTTTCTGGGACCTGATGAGAGGCACAGCTTTCCCAGAAGAAGTGTGTGCTATATTCTTCCTTCGATCTTTCGCTTTACTTATCTTTGAAAGTGGTGCAAAAATACCTAAGGGAGGAATGGAGAGCTTGAGTTAGTGTGAAGCAATTAAAACCATTTCAAATAAAGGGGCAAGTACAACCATTTGGAAATATAAATCTTTAAGTTCTTTTAGTGCCTACCAGGTGTCCTGTAGGGAAAGACAGGAAAAAAGTGACATGCAGTACGTGCCCTCAGAGAGCTTACAATTTAGCTGTCAAGACGAACAACATACACAGTAATTTAAGAATCACATAAAAGAGGTATAATCATGTATTACGTGAAATTCAGGGAAAAGAGAAATGAGTGAAGGTAATAGTTTTCCATCATAGTAATTTCTGACTAAGCTACTGACTATTGTAAACGTGTACAATCTTACTGGAAGACAAAAATTCTAACCTAGGCCACTTCGTGGCATTAAATTATACGGAAATAGATTTGTGCACAAAAAGTTACAAAGTTACACTTGTATGGTATAAAGAAAAGATAGATTTCCAGAGCCAAAACAATTTCTAGTTTACTACTACTATGACCCAATTACAATTTTGGAAATTAATTATGAAAAAATAATCCAAATGGGAGGAAAAGACTGTATACCTGATATGTCATCATCGCAATATTATTCATGAGTAGGAGAAAACAAGTATGTGTCAACAGGATGAATGAATGAACTATACCCCTGAACTGTTACATCACCATCAATAAGTAAAACAATAAAAATTGTAAAGAAATACAGAAAGTATGAAAATTAAATCAAGAAAAGAAAAATGAAACTATATATTTGATTACATTATGATTGTATCTGAGAAACATTTTATGTGTGGATATAAGAAAAACTGTAAAAAACTGAAAACCAAAACACATTTCTGAGAGCAATCAGATTACTCTCGAATTATCTTTCAAATTTGTCATTAATGCATTATAATGTTGTTTAATGAATGGCTTTTTTTTTTTAAACAAAGATCTTTTTTGTAAAAGATTTTATTTATTTATTTAATTGACAGAGAGAGAGAGACAGCGAGAGAGGGAACACAAGCAGGGGGAGTGGGAGCGGGAAAAGCAGGCTTCCCACAGAGCAGGGAGCCCGATGCGGGGCTCGATCCCAGGACCCTGGGATCATGACCTGAGCCAAAGGTAGTCGCTTAACCAACTGAGCCACCCAGGCGCCCCTGAATGGCTTTTTCTTAATCTGCGGAAAGTTGCATGGTTTTTATTTCAAGATCTTAATAGAAAATTTCCACACAATATTATTCCACATAATATCTTTTTTTTTTAAGATTTTATTTATCTATTTGACAGAGAGAAACACAGCGAGAGAGGGGACACAAGCAGGGTCCACATAATATCTTAAACAGTAAATATTTAATTCTATGGCTTTAAAAGATTTCCATAGCATATAAAACCCTACCTAATATAAGTTCTTCTTCTTCCTGCTTTTTTTAATGAAACAAATCATTTGGGAGAACCAAAACTAAATTTAGAGCAAAGATTGGCTACAAGCAAAGCCCAGAGTGCACGCAGAATGTGGGCTAAAGTTCCTAGTAAGTAACTCGTGCTAATCAAAGTACCAATGGGACTTTTCTCAGATCTTGACATATAATTAATCATAAAACTTAACTAAAATAAACACATAGGGAAGAATGATTTTTAAATAGAATAACAAATTTCTAGATAAACATGGCCCATTTTACCACAACTCCTCTCAAAATGGCACCAAAATATTAGAAAGGGATAAAAACAATATAAACTCTAAAGAAAAAAGAAAACGATAAAAAGGAGAAAAAAATACTAAAAGCTGCTAGAGAGGGGAAAAAAGTCACACACGGAAGAAAGATTTTGCAACTTGTACACGGCAACACTGGAAGCTCAAGACAGTAGCTGACAAACCAAGAGCCCGGGAGCCACATCCTGCCCACCACCTCCTCCCGTCAAGTCCCCCTAGCACCTGTGTGTTTACACACCGTCTGCAGCTGCTTCTTAACTACAACAGGACAGCTGAATAGCTGAACAAGAGACTGTGTGGCCCTTGACGCCTAAAGTATCTCCTCCGGCCTTTTACAGGAGAAGTTTGCCAAACTCCATCAGATGATAGAATATCACCTTCTAGATAGGAGGAAGTGAAATATGAAGAGGGGGGAGATCGGAAGGGGAGACGAACCATGGAGACTATGGACTCTGAGAAACAAACAGGGTTCTAAGAGGGGAGGGGGTGGGGGGATGGGTTAGCCTGGTGATGGGTATTAAAGAGGGCACGTACTGCATGGAGCACTGGGTGTTATATGCAAACAATGAATCATGGAACACTACGTCGAAAACTAATGATGTAATGTATGGTGATTAACATAACATGATAAAATTTTTTAAAAATCACCTTCTAAATACAGAGAAAATATGAGTTCCGGCCTAACATTCCTTATCCCATCAAACTATCATATGAAGTGTGAGGGTAGAAATAAACATATTTTTAGAATGGAAGTTTTCAAAAAATGTATCTCCCATGAGTCCTTTGTCAAAAAGCTACTAGAGGATATGCTCCACCAAAACAAAGAAGTAAACCAAGAAAAGAACTGACTTAGAATGAAGGCGCCCAATCTTTCTCCTCATAGTATGAACTGAACTCAAAAGATGTCTAAAACTGGAAAAATCAGGGACGCCTGGCTGGCTCAGTCAGTGGAGCGTGTGACTCTTGACCTCCAGGTTGTGAGTTCGAGCCCCAAGTTGGTTGTGGAGATTACTTAAAATAAAATCTTTTAGGGGCACCTGGGTGGCTCAGTCTGTTAAGCGTCTGCCTTCGGCTCAGGTCATGATCTCAGGGTCCTGGGATCGAGCCCCGCAATGGGCTCCCTGCTCTGCTTCTCCCTCTGTCCCTCTGCTCCTCCCCCTGACTTGTGCATACTCTCTCAAATAAATAAATATTAAAAAAAACCCTTTATTTAAAAAAAATAAAATCTTTAAAAAAATAAAAATAAAATTGGAAAAATCAAGAGAGATTCATATACATGTATTATTTACAAATACAAATATTAATATCAGAAGATACAACTAAAGAAGTTAAAACAGTTCTTGCCTCTAAAAGACAGGACTCAGGGTCAGGGAAGGGCAAGCCGGGAAGGATTTAACTGATGTTTTTAATAAACCTTATAATACAATTTGACTTATGTATTCACTTTGGTAATTATTAAGACATAAAAATGGTATTACCAAGTATTAAAATTTATTATAAAAATTTTCATAATCGCTAAAACTTAGAAGCAACCAAGATATCCTTTAGTAGATGAATGGGTAAATAAACTGTAGTACATCCAGACAATGGAATATTATTCAGGACTAAAAAGACATGAGCTATCAAGCCATGAAAAGACATGGAGGTAACTTAAATGCAAATTACACAGTGAAAGAAGCCAGTCTGAAGAGGCCGGGTTCATACTGTAGAATTCCAACGATACAACGGTCTGGAAAAGATAAAACTAAGAAGACAGTAAAAAGATGAGTGGCTGCTAGGAGTTGATCAGGGAAGGGAGGAACAGGCAGAGCACAGAGGATTCTCAGGGCAGTGACAATACTCTATATAGACACTGTAATGACAGAGACATGTCATTAAACACTTGTCCAAACTCACAGAACACCCACCACCAAAAGTGAACCCCAATGTAAGCTATGGTCTCTGAGTGCTGATGACGAGTCAGTGTAGGTTCCTCTATGTTAAGAAATGTACCCTCTGGTGAAGGGACACTGATACTGGGAGTGGCCCTGCACACATGGAAACGGGATACACAGGAAATCTCTGTACCTTCCTCTCAATTTTGTTTTGAACCCAAGCTGCTCTTAAAAAAGTCTTAAAAATTATTATAAAATTTCTACAATTGAAAAAATCTAGTATGTGTGAGAATTAACAGATCAGTTGAATAAAATAATCCTGAAACAGACTATAGCATTTATAAGAATTTATAATAAAGGAAGCACAACAAGCCAAAGGAAAAATGATAGAGGCGGGAAAAAAAAATCTGTTGCTGAGAAGAGATAAATTCTTTAGCTTCTGCTTAGTCAGGGCAACTCCCGTTTTTCCATAATCCAACACATGATCCTTGCCCCCCAAAACTCGCCTTTAAGCATGTGAAAGGGACAGAAGCAGGGTCCTTGGTGTATCTGGCTTTGTCCTCGTCAAGCATGCCTCTCCTTGGGATGATGAGATTTGGGGGGCAACATGCATTCTGTTACAAGCTAAGCCTTTCCGGTGACTCCGACTGACATCAACCCTGTGCATTGCTAGGAGTTTTGATCCTTTTGCCCTCAGTCGGCTTCACAGCTGCCACAATTAGCTAACAGAGGAAAACTAAAATCAAATTCTTAATTCCGCACAACTACCCAAATATATTCCAAATGGGTTAAATAATATAGGGCAAAAAATTAAAACATTCAAAAGAATAAAATATATAGTTTTAAATTAATCCTTGGATTAGAAAGAATATCTAAACATAAAAGCAATGTTAAGAAATTATAAAGAAAAAGTCTCTTAACTACATAAAACTCTATGCCAAAACACTGCAAATTAAGTTCAAAGGCAAATGACAAACTGGGCAAAATATCTATGATAACTATAAAAGTTTAATATCTTAAATACGTATTTGTATTTCTAAAGTTTTTTAAAACCCACTAATACCTCAATTATTTAATGAGCATGTAATATGAACAATTATTTCTTGGCAATTGCTAATATATATATTACAACAAAATATTTTAAGTGTTTTATTTCACCACAATCAGAGAAATATGAATTCAAACATAGAAATTTTTACCCGTTAAATTGGAAAAATTAAAGGAAATGGAGCCATTAAAAATCATATTTTCAAACGATATTTAATGATTTGGAGAAATTATAATAGCATATCAAGTAAAAATGCAAAATATGTAACTATGTATAATCCAAATTTTGCAAAAAGAATTAAACAGAAGAAATATACCGGTGATTTTATTTTCTTCTTTTAACATTTTTTATGTTTTTCAAATTTTATACAATACTTTTATAAACAAAAAAATTAATAGACAAAAAAATGATGCTCAATTTTAAGTGTATGACAAAAGGAAACTGGTAATTTTGATAAATTTGTAACACCTAGCAAATAGCTACCATTAGTTGAGTACTTATAGGGAATCAAGCACTATTCAAGGTGCTTTATACATTTATCAACACATTCAATCCTCATACGAACTCTTGAGGTATTGTTAGCCCCATTTTATAGAAGACAAACTGAGGCACAAGAAGAAAGTTAAGGTCACATAACTGGTAGATAGAGAAGCTGATTCACACCCAAGCTGTCAGACTCCAAGCAAGGACTTTAGCATTAGACCAGAGTGTCTCCCTGTGCAGCTATAATTGAAATACTGTGCAACCAGGGAAGTTAATGTTCTAGAAGACTATTTCAAGGCAAGGAAAAATATTCACAACATAGCAAGTGACAAATTTAGTTCAAGATGTCAAGGAGTCTGTATGTGTGTATGTGTATGAGAGAGAAAGAATATGAATTTAAACAAACATCTGTCAGAAAGAGAAAGAATCATCCCACCTCAGGAATACAGTTTTAAAGTTCCCTTCCCTTGCTTTTCCAAGTTTTCAAGTTTTTTAACCCCCAGAGTTCTGTATTTCCTTGATAACAAAGTCCCTCCCTCAGTCATGACAGCACCCTGAGCAGGACTTACAGGAGGTCCACGGAGCCGGAAGTACTCCTGGTGGGACACCATCTTCCCATCACTATACTGCTCATAGCAGGAAAAGGGCAGTCCCTTCATTAACTACATAGATAGCCAGGAGGAAAGGTTTCTTTTTTTTTTTTTCCCACCCAACCAGGTTTATTTAAAAACAATAGAAGAGTAGGGATGCCTGGATGGCCCAGTTGGTTAAGCTTGGTTGAGCATCCAACTCTTGATTTCAGCTCAGGTCATGATCTCAGGGTCATGAGATCAAGCTCCACACTGGGCTCTGTACTCGCGAGGAGTCTGCTTGGGATTCTCTCTCTCCTCTCCCTCCCCCTCGATCGTGCTCTCTTTCTCTAAATAAATAAATAAAATCTTTTTAAAAATGATAAAAATAAAAATAAATAAATAAAAGTAAATTTGGTTATCTTAAACTAATTCTCATTAAGTTAGATAGTATCAACCTTACCGTATTTGGGGGCACATTTAAAGTACTGGATTTTCCCAACACTTCCATTGTTTTTTCCTTCTGGTTCGTCCAACTCAATACCAGCCCACTGCCCACTTGCAAATTCTGTTGTTCCGCAAAATCTTAATGTTCCAACCTAAAGAAAACATAAATCAGAATAAATTTTGAGGATTACTAGTAATTCTAAATGTGCTACTCTTGCAACTTTACCATGGAAGTTTTTAAAAACCATTCTCTCAAAGTAGACTTTAGAACAGGAATATTACCAGGGATAAAAAGAGGTATTATATAATGATAAGAGCCAACCCCAAAAAGACATAAGAATCCTAAATCGTTATGCACCTAACAACTGATTTTGGAAAATCTCCAAACATTTGGAAATTAATAAATATACTCCCAAATAACCCATAATGAAAGAGAAAATCACAAAGAAATTTAAAAACATTTTGAATTGAGTGAAAATGATAACACGATATATAAAAATTTGTAGGATGTAGCAAAAGCAGTGTTTAGAAGGAAATTTATAGCATTAAACACTTGTATTAGGAAAGGTCTCAAATCAATGACCTAAACTTCCATTTTAAGAAACTAGAAAGTGAAGGCCCAAAGCAAGCAGGAGAGAAACAATAAAGATAAGAAATTATGGGGCACCTGAGTGGCTCAGTTGGTTAAGCATCTGCCTTCGGCTCAGGTCATGATTCTGGGGTCCTGGGACTGAGCCCCACATCAGGCTTACTGCTCCGCGGGGAGCCTGCTTCTCCCTCTGCCTCTGTCCCCCCACCCAGCTCATGCTCACTCTCTTGCACACTCTCTCTCATTCTCTCAATCTCAAATAAATATTTTTTAAAAAAAGAAATTAAGAACAGAAAAAGAACAGAGAAAATCAATGAAACCAAAAGCTGGTTCTTTGTAAGGATAAATAAGATTAATAAACTTATAGCTAGGGACCAAGTAAACAAAAGAGAGAAGACACAAACTGCAAACATCATGAATGAAAGCAGGACATCTTTACATACCCTCAGTCATTTAAAAAATAGTAAGAAAATACTCTGAACCCTGTGCCTGTAAATTTAACAAATGAGATAAAATGTTCCAGTTCCTTGAAAGATGCAAACTGTCAAAGCTCACACCTGAATTGGTAGTTTAGAAACGTCCAAAAACCAACAACACAACAACAACAAACCCTTCAGAACCTTATGGACTCACTGGTGAATTCTACCAAAGAATTTAAAGGAAAAATAATCATCTCTACACAAACCTAGTATATAAAAGTGGAAGGATTAATTCTCAACTCATTCCCAGCATTACCTTCTTACACCATACACAAAAATAAATTCAAAATGGATAAAAAACCTTAACATGAGACAGGAAACCATCAAAATTCTAGAGAACACAAGCAGAAACATCTCTGACCTCGGCCATAGCAACTTCTTACTAAACACATCAACACAGGCAAGGGAAACAAAAGCAAAAATGAACAAATAGGACTTCAAGATAAAACGTTTCTGCACGGCAAAGGAAACAATCAACAAAACTAAAAGACAACCGACAGAATGGGAGAAGACATTTGCAAATGACATATCTGATAAAGGGCTAGTACCCAAAATCTATAAAGAACTTATCAAACTCAACAGCCAAAAAATAAATAACCCAGTTAAGAAATGGGCAGAAGACATAAATAGATACTTTTCCAAAGAAGACATCCAGATGGCTAACAGACACATGAAAAGATGCTCAACATCACTCATCCTCAGGGAAAGACAAATCAAAACCACGATGAGATACCACCTCACACCTGTCAGAATGACTAGAAAAACAACACAAGAAGCAACAGGTGTTGATGAGGATGGGGAGAAAGGGGATCTCTCTTGCACAGTTGGTGGGAATGCAAACTGGTGCAGCCACTCTGGAGAACAGTATGGAGGTTCCTCAAAAAGTTAAAAATAGACCTACCCTATGATCCAGCAATTGCACTACTGGGTATTTACCTAAAGGATACAAAAAATACTGATTCAAAGGGATACATGCACCCCAATGTTTATAGCAGCATTATCAACAATAGCCAAACTATGGAGAGAGCCCAAATGTCCATCGACTGATGAATGGATAAAGAAGATGCGAGATATATATATATATATATATATATATTATTACCGAGCCCTCCAAAAAATGAAATCTTGCCATTTGCAATGATGTGGATGGAGCTAGAGTGTATTATGCTAAGTGAAATACATCAGAGAAAGACAAATACCACATGATCTCATTTATGTGGAATTTAAGAAAGAAAACAGAAGAACATATGGGAAGGGGAAAAGAAAAAGAAGGAAACAAGTCATGAGAGACTCTTAATGATAGAGAATAAACTGAGGGTTGATGGAGGGAGGTGGGTGGGGGATGGGCTGGATGGGGGATGGGTATTAAGGAGGGCACTTGTCATGATGAGCTCTGGGTGTTGTATCTAAGTGATGAATCACTGAATTCTACTTCAGAAAACAATACTGCACTGTATGTTAACTACCTAAAATTTAAATAAATAAATGCTTAAAACTACAAAACTGATGAAACATAAAAAACCTATTAAATATATGAACAAACAATGAATCATGGAACAGTACACCAAAACAAAGTATGTAATATATGGTGATTAACATAACAATAAAAATTTAAAAAAATAATAAAAATAAATTTTAAAAACCTATTAAATAGAGATATATTGCACTTGTGTTTTTTTTATTTTATTTATTTTAGAGAAAGAGAGTGAGCACGAGCAGGAGAGGGGAAGAGGGAGAGGGAGAGAGAGAATCTCAAGCAGACTCCGTGCTGATCACAGAGCCCAACACAGGGCTCCAACCCATGACCCTGAGATCATGACCCAAGCCGAAATCAAGAGTCAGCTACTTAACCGACTGAGCCACGCAGGCACCCCTACTGCGCTTGGGTTTTAAAGACTCCATATCTTTAAGATAACTGTTCTCCTCAACTGATCTATGTCAACACGACTCCATTCAAAATCCCAGCAGGATTTTTTGTATGACTTGAAAATCCATAAGCTGATTCTACAATGTACATGGAAAGAAAAAGAAACTAAAAAAAAAAAAAAAAAAAAAAAAAAAAATTTGAAGGCCTAACAACATCTGATTGCAAGACTTACTATAAAGCTAGAGCAATCATTACAGAGTAGTAGTGAAGAAAGGGTAATCATCAGATCAATGGAGTAGAATAAAATCCAGCAATACACCCATACACCTAAAGTCAGATGACAAAGGGGCAAGGGCGATTTAGGAAAGAAAGAACAGTCTTTTCAAAATATGGTGCTGGAACAAAGAGGTAATCAGATGCAAAAAAAAGAGAGAGAGAAAGAAATTCTACCTATACCTAGTATTCTGTACAAAAGTTAAGTCAAAATTAAATATAAAACTAAATGTAAAACCCCAAACTATAAAATTCTGGGAGAAAGTCCATGTATTATATCTTCCACTGTCCTATGACACTGTAGAAAATTTCTTAGCTATGCTAAACACACAATCCATGTAAGAAAAAGTTGAAAAATGAACTTCATCAAAATTTCAAACTTCTACTCTCTGAAAGACATTCTTAAAAGGATGAAAAGGCAAGCAACAGAGTGAAAGAAAGCGTAACGGAAGCAAGACTGACCATGAGACGATCAGGTTAAACCCAGTCGATGCACCTTATACGCTTCTACTTTTGTATAGCTTCAAATTTTCCAAAATAAGGACAACAGAATAACTCTTCTAAACATCCATTCTCAGACACAGGATGGGAATACTGAAGAGGCTGAACATTAATCCCAAGTTTAAAAAAAAAAGCTAACAAATGTCCTATGAATATATTCTTTTGGAAGCTGGTAAAATGTCATTCTCAACATAATCATCTGTTTGGAGTTTACCTTCCTTTCTGGAGCATTTTTCTCAGTAAATCAAACTTCCAGATTTTGGCATTTTCTGCAAAACCCGTGTCACCGTCCCCACAAGCCCACCCATATATTTACACATAACTGCGTTAGGAAATAGCGGAACTCCCTGTTCCATTCTCCATACCCAGCTCCTTATTAAACCCAAAGTTAAAACAAAACAGCCCTTCCCTATGAGCTATTAAAAAAGAGAGAATGGATGGCAACAAGACAGCGCCCTAAGGACTCTGAGGTTTTGGAGAAAAAGAGGCATCTGGAGCATCTTCAATAGGCTGGGTTGGCGGGGGGTGGGGGGCAGGAGGGTCCTCTTTTCCACATACATTTTTATTATGAGGTTTGAAATAATATCTAGGATTTCTCTATTTCTAGGATCTCAAGGCCAAACATCCATGAATGGCAAGAGTCTCCTTTGCTCCATTACTGCGAGGTAGTTGTAGTGGGAAAAACCCAGTGAGGGCGGCAGGGGGGCTGCAAGGAAACCCCTCCAGGCTCAGCGATGTCTCAGCTCGGGCCTCCTAATGCACTCAGCAGCCCTACTGTATCCCACTCTCCCCACCCCAACGGAGAGGCCTTCATTATTCCGTCCAAGGGTAAGCGTGCCTCTCAGTTTCACTGTTTCCATTAAGTCTGTTTCTATGTACACACTGAACTTTTTAAAAAAACTCAAAACCCTGTCCACAGTGTATGGCTGCAGCCATGGCACACGGGCCACGCACACTGCAGACCTCGGACCCAGCTTCAGAGACGGCCGTTACTTCCTTACCTTCTGTCCTGCAATAATGACGCGATCCCCCAACTTCAGACCGAGGGATGTGAGCATCGCCTTGCTAGTGACACGGTCACAGTTTGGAAGCAGGGGCTTTGAAAGGTCACGCGACAGGGGCGCTGCGTCCAACAACATCTGCTTGATTTCTTTAGCAGTTGCGGCAGCATCGGCCATCTCCAGAGGCATTTCCACTGGGTCCGGAACGACATCAGCAGGGATCTGTCCTTTGTCATTCTGCAAATACAGAGAAGAGAACATTTTCAATCCATATCACTCACAGCTCTACATGGTCATACACAATTATTTTTAAAAATAAAGGTGAAAAAAATTAAGTTCAATTCATTCATCGTGTATTTAGTCAAACTATTTACTGAACACCTACTACATGCCCTTCTAAATGCTACTGACACCACACTGAAGAGAAAAACCCTGCCCTCAGAAAGCACACCTTCTGGTGTGAGAGACAGACCACACACAGACAAGTAAAAGAGATGGTATGTTAAATGGTAAAAAGTGGCAGAAAAAAAAACAGTTCCAGGCAGGGAAGGGGAGAAGACCCAGAGGGTGGCGTCTACGCAGGCAGGGCGGCCGGGGAAGGACTCACAGGCCAGAGGAGACGTGGGAGCACCATGCAGGCGAGCTGGTTGGGGAAGCGCGGGCGCTGAGCTCATGAGTAGACAGCATGCCTGGCCGCGCAGGTTTGGAGACAGAAGTCACAGCACTGACTGGCCTCCCAACCTCAGATCAGAGATTCTGCCGTCTCGGCCATGTAACCTGATCCATCCTGCCCACTCATGGAGTGATTTAGTTAGTTATTTGAAAGGGGTGGGGGGCCAAAGGGAGAGGGAAAGGGAGAGAATCTCAAGCAGACTCCATGCCCAGCACGGAGCCCAACATGAGACTCCATCCCAAGACTCCAAGATCATGACCTGAGCCGAAACCAAGAGTTGGACACTTAACTGACTCAGCCACCCAGGCGCCCCATTATTGAGTGACTTTTGTCTTGTATCTACATTCATGCTGCCACTGGGTAGAGCAGACTCTTGTCATTTCTTAATGACTTAAGTAAGCCCGGCTGCCTGCCTCAGATCCCCGTCCTCAAACGCATCCTCCTCTACTGCATGACCCTAGTGACCTTTCTACGTCCTTTAGGCCAGTGCCCTGCTCCCACCATTGGTGGCTTCATGCTAACTGCAGATTACCATCAAAACAACTTATCAGGTCAGTCAAAGCCTTAATTTGTTTCCAGTGTAGGTCGATTTTTTCATATTATCTGCCAGGCACTGGGCCAGGTCCTGTGACAGCAGTGTTCTGCTCTAATGGGGCTTACGTTCCAGTGTGGATGACCCAAATGGAGCATAGACTTGAGAATCTGGTGAGTGTTTGAAAGAGTGTGGATTTCAGGAATAGAAACTACAGTTTCAATACTTCAATACTTCTAAAATGTGTGCTATAATCAAGAAAACAGCCCTGGTCTCACTATAAAGGAGAGACTGCATCCTTGGATTTAATCCTGCAACAAGATAAAATGGTCAGTTACAAACCCACTAACGTTTGTATGGTGTTTATATAACCAAATCCAATCACATAAATTATCTCATTTGATTCGCACATCAAGAAAAATCTTATGAATAAAACAGATAAAAATCCATGCCAAGAGTATATATTGTAGCATAAGAGACAATAACCAACTAAATAAGTAAAATATTACTATCGTTTCTGGTTTGCCAATTAGGGAAACTCAGTAAGGAAAGGTTAATGACTCCTTCAAAGTCATTTACAGGATTCCTGGCAGAAGGGACATCTGAAGCCATGTCTAGGACCCGTTACATTCAGCCTTTCTCCTACTTAGGGCTATCCTTCCCTCAAACACGGTATCTCTCTTCTATATTCCCTAGCCAAAAAAACTTAGATTTTATGAGAGTTTCCACACTGTAATCTTCTTTTAATATGATGAATCGAGATTCTTTTGCTGAGAAAATTCTTTTCCTTGTCTTCTCTGCTGATAATGATCTTCAAACGCTCCATTTGGATGAAAGAATGAGGTTTTTAAAACACACTTAGTTTGTGAGTGCCTCACAGTTTTTATTTTAAAATTCAAGTCAGTCTGGTCCTAAGTAAAAGCATGGCAGGGAGACATGTTATTAAATTTCTGGGATAGTGATGGGACTGTTTTAAAGAATTTCAGATTTCAAAGAAAATATACAAAATATAATAAAGGTATGTAAATAAATAAATGTATAGCACTAATATGTACTCTTGATAAAAAGAGGGGGGATTTTTTTTTAAACCTTGTACTGATAAGTTGTAAACTATATTGACAAGGACTCTTTTTTTTAATTTTATTGTTATGTTAATTACCATCATTAGTTTTTGATGCAGTGTTCCATGATCCATTGTTTGCGTATAACACCCAGTGCTCCATGCAGAATGTGCCCTCTTAAATACCCACCACCTGGCTAACCCAACCCCCTACCTCCTCTCCTCTAGAACCCTCAGTTAGTTTCTCAGAGTCCATAGTCAAGGACTCTTTTACTTTAGATTTTTAAGTCCTCACCTTTCTAGAGTAAGTCACACACTTATGTTAATTCCTATAGAATGTGGCAACTAAAACTTCTGTTAAAATAACAATAATAATAGGGGCCCCTGCGTGGCTCAGTCATTAAGCGTCTGCCTTCGGCGCAGGTCATGATCCCAGGGTCCTGGGATCAAGCCCCGCATCAGGCTCCCTGCTCAGTGGGAAGCCTGCTCCTCCCACTGCCGGCTGCTCTCCCTGCTTGTGCTCACACTTTCGTGCTCTCTCTCTCTGACAAATAAGTAAATAAAATCTTAAAAAAAAAATAGTCTCTCCACTAGGAGGTTTTGTCAACAGTCGTACTAGGAAAAGCAAAAATATATCACCTTCACATTCCAGCCAAATTGGGGAATCATCTCCTAGCTTTGGTGAATGCTACTCTCCTCTCTGCCCAAAAGGCTTTTCGCACCTCCCTCCTCTAACTGGTTAGTTCTTAACTATGTTTAAGTGCTCAATGTCACATTTGCCCTTGTCTGTGACCCATGGCACTCTGTGCCCACCCCAACATCGTAACCCACTGAATGCCAACACACTACGGCAAAATTACTTGTCCATCCTCCCCTCTAGACTACATTCTCTTTGGCGACAGTGACTTTTATTTATTGTTTTCTCCCCGTGCCCAAGAAACAATAGGAAAGGAGGGAGGGGGAGCCTGGGGAAGGGAAGAGGGGAGAAGGGTTAATTAACTAATGATGGGGTAAAACAGAAAGAACAGTGGCAGAAAGAAGCAGAGAGGAGAGGGGAAACTAGAAAGCGGGGAGGGGGAGAGGAAAAGGGGAAGGGAAGAGGCTTTTTCAAACACTGCCCTCCCCTGTCCCTTCAAAGGAAGGCCCAGACCCAATTAAGAACTCCTGCCAGAGCAAGTCACTGTTATTCATATTAAGGAAAAGAACAGTGAGAGCCACTCTGTAAAAACAATAAAATACCAAGAGACTTGAAGATTATGAAATTCAGTCCTGTGTGTTAACTTTGTAAATTTACTAATTTACATGATTACCATGAAAAAATTCATTTTTCCTTTAATTTAATTTTTAAAGGTTTACTGCACTCCTAAATGTGCATTTTTAAAAATTTTCTGAAAAAAAAATAAAGATCCTGTCACCTGCAAAACAAAAAAAAACTCTGGAATAAAATTTCTTTCCAAAAGAATTTAAAATATGATTTAATATAGAAATATCACTTTAACATATGCATTTTAATTTGATAGTTAACTTTTTATAAATATAACAAAAAACTAAATGAAAGACACTTAAAGATGATGACACATTACAGAACATTTTACTTCACTGAATGAAAGGAAATTTTATAGAGCTTATCAAAATAAGGGGACTGAAATTCACTGCTATGCATTATATTTATTTGAGATAAAGTTGATCATCATTATTCTTTATATGCAGCACAAAAACATAAATTCCTTCCTCATATGAGTTCCATAACAACATCCAGATTCAACTCTTTACTAGAATATAATGTTAGACATTTTAACTTTTATAATATTTTTCACTTTTAGTTTAACCTCTTACCCTAAATGCAGGATTTGCTCCGTGCTCCAATAAGCATCTCACAGTACTTGCACACAAGTTATAAGCAGCAATATGCAGAGCTGTTCCAAAATTAAAGTCACTGCAAGTGGCATCTACATCTGCAATTAAACACCGCAAGTATATTAGCTAAGAATTTAAATTTAGCTATAATATAAAAGGAGACAGGTAGGATTTTTTTTTTCCTGGTTGGGGGTGGGGAGGGAGAACTTTATTAAGCCATTTTTGAGACTTAAATCCAGCCACTAGAAGCATCATTTCATGATGGAACCAAATCTTCATACTACAATCTGGTTAACCAATTATTTTCTCAGTACCATAAAACTTCGTTATAACATGGACTGGTATTATCATAGATTTTCCAACTATCACAAACTAAATTATATAAACTATATTTAAAAGAAATTAATGGCAATAATTATCATTTGTAAAAGTAATGATCTTAACACAATCTCTCATTAATGTCTTGCATATATGTCGTGACAGCTACAATGAGATATTAGGTTTAGGTCAGGAACCAGCCCATGGGCAAACACAATTCACCACCCATTTTTATAAATAAAGTTTTACCAGAACAAGCCACAAATACTTATCTACATATTCTCCATGGCTAGCTTCCTGCCATAACTGCAATATCAAGTAGCTGCAGTGGTCCACAAAGCCTACAGTATTTCCTATCTGGTCCTTCACATAAAATGTAGTAGGTAAAACAATGTAGAATTTTCAAATAGGGAATAAGTTAAAGACTAATTAAACATATAAATGCTTACAAATCATATTCATTCATAATACTTTATTTAACAAATGAATTTGGACTTCATGGTAGGAAAAAAAGAATCTTGCAATTCTAAGGATATTGTAATTAACTTTCAATAAATCACCATGATGCTATACTTAGACACAAGAAATCTTCCAGATTTGGGAATCCCATTTTGCATGTTTTCTCTAACACGGGTTTAATACATTTGGTTCTACTAATCCTATCTTAATCTAAACCACACCGCCCCACGTCCTACCTACAATTGCGAACAACTAAGACATGCTCAGGACAAACTTTCCTGAGTTATTAAAGACACTGTACTATCAAAAGAGGCTTTCTTCCTAACATCAATCAAAAATTAAAAGGTAAAAGTTAAAGATAAAATGGACGACTATACAAAGCAGAGTGAGAAACAGTCTGGGAAATTTAGCTACTGAATCTCTAAAACAAGTCTTCTATGAATGGGGAAAACACCATACACTGCTCACCTTTAACCTAGGGTAATACTATTGCATTTGCTCTCTTATTTTTCTCAATAGAAAACTGACCCACTGAGAGTACCAGAGAGAAAGTCAAAATACCAGCACTGCAATATAGACAGTCTGATATTCAATTTTAGGATATCACTATCAAAATAGGAAGGGGGAAAAAAAAACACCTGAATTTGTATCCTTCTTTAATCAGAGAATTTCAGAACCAAACGCCATCTAAAATACTCTTTATGATTTCAATGCTTAGCACTGAAAGCTTTATTGTTCTACTTCTGGCTACTCAAGACAAAAGAATTATATAGCACATAGATTCAATTACACTTTATAAAATCCATGTTATACTGGGGAATTTGCAGAGGTATAAAAACCCAGAGAACACTATTTCACTTTGTATCTCTTTGTATTAAGCCTTTTGTTTAACAACAGCAGTTAATCTTCAATAAAGAAATATTAAACTATTCCTGAAAAAAAAAATGGGATAAGAGATCATACAGAACAAGATGGATTACAAGCAGAAATCTCTTTGAATTTTAATTTTTATGCCACTAATAAAGTGTTCAACTAGTAACATCTACTGGTGATCTTATAGTACTTGCCTTTTGGTTTAGATGTCTTCAAAATCACTTTTATAAGCTCAGGGACATCAAAATAAGCAGCATAATGCAAAGCATTCATATTTGTCCAGCGACTCCGTAAACTAACATCTGCTCCCAGATCAATAAGCTGAATTGCAAATTTTACAGCTGTATCAACATCACCTAAAGAAAGTATTCTAAATTATTTTCCTTCAGTACAACCTGAAGTTCCATTGGATGGTTATCTACTAACTTATTTAAAAAGCCAAAGCAAATAGCATATTGAATCTACACATACACCTCAAAAATTTCACTTACAAGGAATTTGTTCTAAAAAACAATCATACTCAGAGATATGGATAAACACTTAGTTGTAAAGATGTTCATCACAGCACTTTTTATTATGAATAAAATTTTGAAACTAAACTACTTTATAAATAAATAAACATAAACTATTCTATTCTAAAAGTACAATAATATGATATTGGTTAAATAAATCATAAGTCATCCACATACTAGGATACTATAAAGTCATTAAAAGCAATGCCCTAGACCAGTGCTACTCAGCGTGTTCTGTGGACCACTACCAGTCCCAAACTCATTTCTCTGTCCTTTTGATAACCCTTTTCTTTTTCCCAATGCAATAATTTCTTCAGAATATATTAATTGAAATGTAATTTTATGCCTTTTGAAAAACTGGGCTTGTATTTTATGTCTTTATTTCATTTTTCTATTATAATTTCATTTGGTTTTTTTTTTTTTTTTTTACAATCAGTCCATGATGGATTATAGAAAAAAAAGTCCTTCACCATCAACAGCTTAAGAGGCATATATCAGACTACTGAAACAGGGAGAGATATTCACAGTATATAGTTAAGTAACAGAGGCAGGTTTATACAATGGTAAAGCACAGAACGCCAATCTGGGAAAATATGCGTATATGTTATGTATACAGGAATACTCCTTAGGCCTAAAGACTGGGGTCTGTGAGGATCGGGATGCTTGGAAAACAGCTTAGATTGTCTAACTTGCTGTAAACTCTCAGGAATGTTCTAGGGTGCTATCAGTTACTCTCATCTAGTGAGAATGCACCTATGAAGCCTGCTCTAGAAAAGTTGGGAGGTATCAGGAGACTATAAAGACCCCCACCCCTGAGAAAAGGTGGGGGGAGGGAACAAGGTTTTTGGGAGGACCCAACTGAATGCTTGCCTGTTCAGGGGACATTATTATCATCAGCTAGGTGCCCTCCCAGGGACTCTGGGGGCATAACATAGCTTATACAAACACAAATACAGATGTCTTAAGCCACCAGCAGATTTGCCACACACTTACCAATACCATGAGCTCCAGATTTGCAAGTGTAATGTAAAAGAGTCATATCTGTCAATCCATCTCTGTCATTCACATTGCAGCCTCTCTTAAGAATCTGAAGAAACCAAGGAAGATATGACAACATGATGACCGAAAACTGATTTCAAACCCACGCTGAGAACCAAGTTAGTCCATTCTATCAGAATTAGTTCTCAATAAAATGAGTAGCTAGAACTGGCTTCTCTTAAAGATAAATTTTAAATTCTGCATCCAATAGCAATAATGAAAATAATTGTCACCAGACTGAAGGAAATTCTTAAAAGACTATTCCAAGGTAATCTGGCACTCCAAATATGTCCCTTAGCCTCTCAAAGGATAAGCAGAATTTTCTTTCTAATGGGTATAATGGTATTTGAAAAAATATATAAGCTCTCTCTTAACCACATGACAATATGCAGGTCAAAAAACCCAGTTATTCTTTCTTCCCTCCTTCAAAAAATCAAATATTTTTGAAAACTATATTTAAGCCTACATCTTTACCAGACCACCCAAAAGTATGGATAAAACATGCTGGTAATCAATTTTCCTCATGAAATGTATTTTTTAAAGTCTACAAAATTAATGTGTACAAAGAAAGAAGTATGGAAAATGCCACTGTCACCGAGTCTCTAACATCAGAACTCCAGGTGTAAGCAAGTGAGGAGCATGAGGGAACAACGGGAAGAATGTACAATACTAACTCAACTGCCCCATGCAAAGCCTGGAGATACAAAGAACAAACATCAGAATCTTTAAAAGGTTTTTCATTTATCACCACCTTTCCATTCAGATGGTGGGGTTTGCTGGGGCCGGTGGGGGGGCATCTATACAATTAACAATCCTAACAATGCAAAATGTAGAATGGAAGAATTCCTTACCTCATTTCCAATAATGTCAATGTTTTGCTGGACCTGAGGAACCCACTGTCTTAAAATGGCAAATAATTCTGATACAGAAGTTTTCGGATCAAAGAGAATTTCCTGGCATGATGTATCATTAGGATCAAAGAAAGAAAACTCTGTTTGAAATTTAAAAAAAAAAAGGTGTAAATTAAACTTATTAAAAGTGCCAAATAAATATACTGAAAATAATAAACAATAAGACTAGGGCTCAAATGATACAGATATTTTTAGATGCTAAGAGAAGTAGGTTTACATTAAACAATTTTCATAACCCAAGAGAGCCAAAAAGTATGTGGCATTCCTGAATTGTGGGAATGAGGTTTCTGTGCACCATATCACATTTTATTACAGACAGAACAAAATATGTGAGCGCACCCATCTCAAACCTTGAACTTTCCAACAACTACTTCTAAGGCACAGAAAATCTGTCAGATTTTATCAATTTTTTCAGCTCTCACAACATAAATATATCATGAACAGTAGATTCACATCTATAATTAAAACACACATAAAAGGGGGAAAATGACAAAATATCAACTGGTGTGCAATTTTATATATTCTTTTTACTTCCCTGTATTTACCTAATTTTCTATAAGAGACAGGCATTACTCTCTACCCACTAAAGAGGCATGAGAACTGCCACGCCAACTATAAGGGACCAGTATCTGGCGGTGCAGAAGTGAAACCTTGGACCAGAGTGACTGGGTGATTTGGGAATATGTATTAGTAAAAACATGGAACACTAGCAAAATTGAATGTGATCTAAATATCTCTTAAAATTTCTCTAAGATTCATGGAAAATTTTGGTCAGCCTATGGCTAGAGAAGAGAATGGAAGAAAATCAGATTGTACTATCTCAAACAATCCCACAAAAGGAGGGGGGGCAAGGAATCTAAAAAACCAGAAGCATCTAAAGAAGGAAAGCATTAGAGAACCAACATTTGCTGAGTACTTACAACTTACCAAACATCTTACAAGTCCTCACAAACACCCTACTTGGGACGTACTATTATTCTCATTTTGCAGGTAAAGAAACCAAAGCTCAGACTAAATAATACTTGCTCCAAGTCACACAGCTAGTAAGTAAGGCACATCTGGGGTAGAAAACCAGATCTGTATCCAAAGTCTATCCTCCTTCCTCTATTGTGCTGCCTCTGTAAAAGAATTCACTATTGAAGTCAGCTTTCAACAGCATACGTGAGTAGCAGGATTCATGGTTTTTTTAATGCCCTTTGCATTTTTACATATTTTCCAAAATTATACTATGTACACATAATTCATATTTTCAGAATCAGGATAACTAAAAGGTAAGTGGGAAAGCACAAAACCAACGATGTGTATAAAAGGAGAGCAGCAGTCCATTAGAAGAGAATCAGAAAAACTAAAACTAGAATGAGATAGTATCTAAAATCTTAGACAACAGAATGGCCCTCTAGGTTCAGAAAGGAAGACTCAGAAAAGAACTGGTATCCAACGGAGAGAAGCACCTTGCATGGTTTCTTGAACATAGATTTGGGTAAATTTCTTATATGTAGCAGTTGACTAGATAGGGTGGGGGTGTCTAACTGATCATTCAATAAATATTTATGGATCCGTCCTTTTTTTAAGCACTGGGCATTGATAGTGGAGGAATTTCTAAATATATACCTAGAGACTCTTCTGCATGTGTCCACAGGAGACACGTTCAAGAATTCTAACATTAATTATAATGGCAAAACAGCTGGGCTGAAACATCTCTCCATAAAGAAACGGACAGAATTGGCATATTCTATTTTTTGCTTTTTAACAACTAAAGAAATGAATTAGATATCTAAATCATAAGTTGATAAGGCTAGGTCTCAAAAAACATACTGATTGATAAATTATGCTGCAGAATAATATGCAGTTTCTATCATTTACATAAAACTACAAATACACAAAACAATACTATGTATCATTTAAATATGCTCATTCATACAGTAAATATATAATAATGTGGTCTGGAATATTCACACTAAATATCAGATAATGGTTGCCTCTGGAGAGCAACGGGAACAGGACCAAAAGAAAACAGAAGGAATTTCAACTTTAAGGTTTTCTTGTAACCAAAAAACAAGAGCTAAAGGGAAAATGACAAAATGCCAACATTTATTCTTTCTGATGGTAGATATGTGTGATCATATATGTTTGCTACTACTATATTTTGTGCATTTTTATATGATTTCCTATTTTAAAAAAACGAAAAACAATGGGAAAAGCATCCCATACACAATATCAATAAAAGTAACAAACATGCCAAAGAATGTGTGAGGCTTATTTATAGGAAACTGGAAGAGGTGAGTGACTTAAATGGAGAGAGATACATCATGTCGCAGAACTAAAAAATATCTAAAGCCGCCAATTTTACCAAAAATAATTATTTAAAATAGTTTCAATTCTAATCAAAAAATCTCAGCAGGATTTATTTGTGAGAGGAGATACAGAATTACTCTACAGTTCATCAGTAGCAGAGCGTCTCAAACGTTAAGGTTAACGTAGATAGAAATCACTTAGGGATCTTGTTACAATGTTAATTTTGAGCCAGTAAATCTCAGGTGGGGCCTGGAACTGAGCTGCTGCTGCTTTTTTTTTTTTTTAAGATTTTATTTATTTGAGAGAGAGTGAGAGTGAAAGAGATCACAGAGGCAGAGGGAGAAGCAGGCTCCATGCTGAGCAAGGAGTCCAATGTGGGGGATGATCCCAGGACCCTGAGATCATGACCTGAGCCAAAGTCAGACACTTAACTGACTGGGCCACCCAGGAGCCCTAGAATTGAGTTTCTAACAGGCTCCCAGTGATGCCAATGCTACCAGACTAAGGATCACACTTTAAGTAGCAAAGATCTAGAAAGTAAATATAAGATAAATAAGAACACTTGAACTAAAAACAAAAACAATGATCTGAGTAGGGAGAGGGGGCAGTAGCCCAATAAATAATAAAGCATATAACAAGGCTTCAGTAATTATATACTGAGGTGATGGCAAACAGCAGACAGCTCATTTAAATAATAATGACAATATGTTACACTTACTAAGTACTTAATAGATCCCAGGGACTGTTCTATGTACTTTATTGCCTAGTTTAATCCTCATAATGACCATATGAGGTCGGTACTGTTATTGTTCTCATTTTATCAAAGGGGAAATAGAGGGAACAGAGAAGGGACAGAGAAAATAAATAATTTTCTTAAAATCACACAACTGGTAAGTGGTTGAGCCAGGATTAAAAGCCAGACTGATCTGTAATCTTAATCTCGACGCTATACTACATATTAACAAATCTAACTAAATCTAAAGTTTAAGCTTCTATACGGGGGGGGGGGAAGCTTTAATAAAAAGAAAGCAGGGGGTGTTGGGGAGGAACTGTCCCACTTCATGTCAGGATGGAGTAATGAGGACCAGATTTACCCTTCCACCTGCAACAAAAAAAGACAAAGGAAATAGATGAAATGCAGTTTTCAAGGACACTGAACATCAAGGCAATGAAAGACAGTGATCATAACAGGATACAAATAAGGTGGGTCTTACAATTGCCTCAGGTATCTGCCTTGACAGTTTCCAGGTCTCAGTGCAGAGAGAGGGAAACCAAGAGAAGCACAGAAGACTCCCTGAGTTGAGGAGACAACACTGAGAGCCAAGGAAATCCAGGGAGCTAGAGTTCACAGGAAAGAGTATCAGAGAGGAAAGAGATACACAGCAAGAGAATCCCAAAGATCTATGAAGGGTCTTCTTGAGTATTTTACATATGCTTGTGAGGAAAACCTGAGGTAAGAGAAAGAACCATCGTAAAGGATTAAAAAGATTAGAGCCCAGTGCTTGTAAAGGGCCTAAAATAGTACCTGTTCAGATGAATGGATAAAGAAGATGTGGCATACACACACACACACACACACACACACACACACACAATATGGACTATTACTCAGCCATGAAAAAGAATGAAATCTTGCCATTTGCAATGACACGGATGGAACTAGATGGTATTATGCTAAGTGAATTAAGTCATATCATATGATTTCACTCATATATACAATTTAATAAACAAAATAGATGAACATAGGGGAAGGGAAGGAAAAACAAGACAAAAACAGAGAGGGCGGGGTGCCTGGGTGGCTCAGTCGTTAAGCATCTGCCTTCGGCTCAGGTCATGATCCCAGGGTCCTGGGATCGAGCCCCACGTTGGGCTCCCTGCTCTGCTGAAAGCCTGCTTCTCCCTCTCCCACTCCCCCTGCTTGTGTTCCTGCTCTCGCTCTCTGTCAAATAAATAAATAAAATCTTTAAAAACAAACAAAAAAAACAAACAAAACAAAAAAACAGAGAGGGAGACAAATCATAAGAGAGACTCTTAACTACAGGAAACAAACTGAGGGTTGCTGGAGGGGAGATGAGTGGAAGGATGGGGTTACTGGTGATGGGCTTTAAGGAGGGCACCTGATGGAATGGACAATGGGTGTTTATATGCAAGTGAGTAATATGCATTCTGTGTAAATCACTAAATTCTACCTCTGAAACTAATAATACACTATATGTTAATTTAATTAAATTTAAATTAAAAAGAAATAAAATAAAAAAGAAATAAAATAGTGCCCGTTCCCACTGAAAAGACTAGGAAAAAAATTCACAGGGCACTGGGAAGAAAACTGAATAGTGAGGAATAATTAGCCCCAGATTAGCACGGCTCCAGAACTACCTAATAAATCATAAAACAAGACCTGAAAGGGCCAAACTATTTCCAAGGAACTTAACTGCATCCCACCACAAAATTCAAGAATACTTACAGGAATAGAAAAATATCCAGCACCCAAAAGGTAAATTCACAATGTCTGGCATCCAATCACAGATTGCCAGGCATGCAAATAAAGGGGAAAACATGACCCATAATCAGGGATAATCAATTGAAACAGACCCAGAGTTGACATAAAATTATAATTAACAGAAAAGAACATTAAAACACCCATTATAACTGTATTTCAAATGTTCAAAAGGTTAAGTAGAGACATGGATGATATGAAAAAGAACCAAATTGAACTTGAGAGATGAAAACAACAGCTGCAATGAAAACTACACTGGATGAGATCATCAGCTGATCAGACATCGCAAACGAAAAGATTAATGATCTTGACGACACAGCAACAGAAACTATCCAAAATAAAACACAAAAAGAATTTTTTAAATATGAAGAAAGCATCAGCAAGCTGTGGGACAACTTCTAGGAACTGGAGTGTCTGAAAGGGCCAAGGGGCAGAAAAAAATATTTGAAGATATAATGATCTCCCAAACTCGATGAAAACTGAAACCAACAGGTCCAAGAAGCTTCACAGACCCCATGCAGAAGAACATAAAGAAAATTACACCAAGACACATCATAGGAAAATTGCTCAAAACCAGTGATAAAGAGAAAATCTTAAAAGCAGCTGGGGTGGGGGGGCGGGGGGAGAGGCATTACATTCAGGGCAACAAGCACAGCACTTTTCCTATCAGAAACAATGCAAGTAAAAAGACAATGGAGCAACATCTTTAAGCACTGAAAGAAAAAACTATTAACCTAGAATTCTATACTCAGCAAACCTATTTCTCAAAAGAGAAGGCAACATAAAGATGTTCCTAGACATCTAAAAGCTGTAGGCATTCCTCACCAGCAGATCTGCACCACATGAAATGTTCAAGGAAGCCCTTTGGGCAGAAGGAAAATGGTATTGACTGGACATCTAGACCTGCACAACAGAATAAAGAACACTGGAAATGGTAACTACTTGGGCAAATAAGATATGCTACTATTACTTAAATCCCTTTAAGAGGTAACTCACTCTTTAAGGAAAAATAATAATGCATCGTGGGGTTTATAATATATGTGATATGCATTCTGTGTAAACTGGATTCCAAAAATCTTTATATTGCCTTGCAGGGTAACCACCTGGAGAATCAACACTGACCTGCATGTCTAAACTCTGGTTTGTGCAGTTGGTTTTTCTTTGTTTCTTTTTTTAATCTCATTCTCAGTCTCACATTCAATGGCTCTCATTACACTCCGCATAAAATACAAATTCCTTACCAAGGCCTAAATGATCCCGCGTGATCTGCCCCCTGCCTTTCTCTCCAACATCCTTTCCTGTCGTTCTGCCCCTCAACCACTTTGCTTCTCAACCACAACGGCCTTCCTTTAATTCTTAGGATGTACCAAAGTTTTTTCCCCAACTCTGTGCCTTTAACTTCCTATTCTTCTGCCTGGAATACTTCTCTCCAGGCTCTTCTTGTGACCAGCTTCTTCTGACTCCGGATGACCACCCCATCTACAAGAGACACTCTGCACCATTATCCTCTGTCACAGCACCCTGTTTCTTTTCTCCACATAATATTTATGTTTTGTTTATTAATTTGTTTATTGTCTTTCCCCATTAGAATGTCTATCTCAGTCACTGTGCTATCCCCAGCAACTAGGACAGTATCAGCACATAACAGGCCCTCAATAAATAATAAATACAATTCAGGATGCCACTTTTCAAGGGGACACTGACTACACTGTACAAAGAAAGAAACAACTAGAATGAAAAGGGTCTAGAAATCCTGACGCTGAGGGACTGATGAAGGAACCAGAAACATGTAGCCTAAGGAACTACATTAAATAAAAATATTCAAATTATCTCCAAATATTTGAAGGCTGTCATATAAAGAAGTATGTTCCACACATCAAAAACTGGTATCGGTTGGCCAAAGTTTCAAGGAGACATATTTTGAGTCTATATACAAAAACAACTTTATCACAACTAAAACTTTTTAACCATGAAATGGACTGTTTCACTAGCTTCCCACTACTGAAGTTATCCAAATGGCTGAGCGGTTATTCATCAGAGATCCTGAAAATAGAATTTCCATACTAAGAAGTGAGTAGGGAAAGCTGACCTACAGGTCCATTCAGATTCTAAGAATGTGTAATTCTAAGCATATAGGCAATGTTTAATTTCAGTCATACAAAGGGGTCAACGGCCATTATCACCTTACATTCAATGTATTTATTCAACAGACACTGACTGAGCAACTAATCAACAAATCACTAGCCCTACACTAGCCCTAAGAAGATCAACAAAAACAAGGCATGGTTGTTACTCCATCCCAAAGAGCTACAGCCTAGGAAAGGAAACAAGACAATTACGACTCAGGGTAGAATGAAGTAAGTGCCATAAGCAAGGCACAAAGTGCTTTAGTTGAGGTTTTTCCTGCATAATTGATTTTGTTATATCTGAAAATAAACCCAGTCCACGTTCTATAAAAGCTGCAAATAACTCCCAGGATCCAAGCACAGGTTTTATGGAATATTTCTGACCACTGCAAGGCAAGCTGCTCTAGATTCTGAACTTGGAGGTAATTATTAGAATGGGTATGACTAAAGAGATAAATTCCCCACCTAACAATTTCATATCTACTAATATTTAAAAGTTGCATTTCTGAAGAAAAAATAACAAATAAAAAAAAAGAAATTGCATGATCTCTGTCTCCAAAGACAATTTGAAATGATGACCCAATACTTCACTTGAAAAATTCTAACTAAACTAGAAATGTAATAAATCTATTAAATTTATCTCCTGGTTTTCTTTTATTCCTTTAGCAACAATCTGATAATATATAGTTCTGGAGAAATAAGCCTAAATAGGTAAAAACTAGAATAGCTATAAATTTACATTTTACAAAGGAGATTTAAGTGAACCGATTTAAATATGAACCAATCCCACTTCACATTCCAGGGCAACGCCTCACACTCTCTACCTAAGTACATGGCTTTTTTTTTTTAAGTTTTACTATATTTGTGTATACATTATAATTACAACGGAAGACTAGTGAGAGAAGATCCCAATTCGGCTTGCTTATGTACTCAAACACATAACTTGTTATATTATCCCCCAAATTTGGATCGTTTCAGTAGTGACTATTTGGTAAATTAGATCCTAGCACTTCAGAGAGAGCAAGGCCCTTAGAGATGGCTAGCTCATAATATTTTGTTTTGTCTTAATACATGGCTTTTTAAGCAAGTCAGTACATTTAACCAAAATAAATACATCAATAGCACAAGAATGCTAGATGTCTAAGCACCACTGCATTCTAAAAATAAGATCCTCTAAATCCATCACGGTGCCTAAAATGAACATTTTTACATAATAAAAATGCTGACAGCAAAATAAAGCATTCATGGCTTAAGAGGCAGAAGAAAAGCAATAAGCAATTGTATTTTTGAAAAAGGAAAACTAGCAATTTTATGGAAACCATGCCAAAGAGTTTTAGGAAAAATTATGAATGCAAAAAGGGTACAAGACAGAAGTCAAGTCTCCAGGCCATTATCAGCTACTCGACGTACCGCAGTCCGAAGGCATTGGTGCCGCAGAAATGGAAAAAACAACTGGTGTCTCAGAACCTGGAAATAAAAACGGGTATCTTCCAATCAAACAATTTCCTTCTACTGGAAAATCTGGAAGGTCCTCTATGGTCATCTTCTAGAAAGCCACCTTTAATGAGAGGGAGAAGAAAGCATATCTATTATATTTGTATGCAACTTAGAATGATGGCCTTCAATCACAATAAAAAAACCTATTTTCTTTTAATATGTAACCTACTGACATTTTTTTTAAAGATTTTATTTATTTATTCATGAAAGACAGAGAGAGAGAGAGGCAGAGGGAGAAGCAGGCTCCCAAGGAGCAGGGAGCCCAACACGGGACTCGATCCCAGGACCCTGGGATCACAACCTGAGCCAAAGGCAGACGCTTAACCATCTGAGCCACCCAGACTCCCTGCTGACATTTTTTTTAAGGTTTTATGTTATAAAGTAATTTCTACACCCAACATGGGACTCAGACTTACAACCCCGAGATCAACTGTTGCATGTTCCTCCAACTGAGCCAGCCAGGCACCCCAACCCACTGACATTGTAAACTTCAACCTTCAAGAATCTCTTTTAGAAAGGAAGATGAAAATAAAACTTCCTTTTAGCAAACTGTTGTTGAAGAATATATGTTGCTTCATAAGTCTCTTACAGACATGTAGTCTTTTTAGACAAAGCCCGGGAGTAATAAAAAGCTATGTATTTCCCAATAATAGGTGAAAATATTTTAAAATGCTGATTTAATCTAAATGGGTGATCTTCTCTTTACTCAAGTAACAAAGGGACATAATATCCCTTATAGATATATCTCTATCTATCATAGGATCTGACACAGGTTATATTATCTATCATCCAGTAATAGCTCATGTCATATGCTCATCACATGAAAATCATATACTTTAGAATGTTGTTATTATTTTCTGAAATCCCAGAACACTTTACTGAAAATCAATCACATCACTTACACAAATATGGATCTAAGAGCTTACCAGCATCGTTCACTTCTTATCAACATACAAGACCTATTCAGTCTATCCTAGCATTAGTTGGAAGGCCATGCCTTGTAAACCACGTCACTTATATTACCTCTTTTTCCCAGAAAACATGAGAGCTTAGAATAAATGTGCTATAAACTGGACTGCTGCTGCAGCCTAGCTCGTTTGGCAATGGCATAGAAGGCAGAGAAAATGTTAGTAAAACTGAACTATAAAGGTAAAAAACACCCAGTTTCTTTTGTATCAAATCTTTAAAGTCTGAAATACTATGAATCTATTTTTAAATATAAGTAAAAAACTACATTAAAAAACTAAATAAAAATGATTTTTGACCATTTTAGAAAGAATAAACCAAGATAGTTAATTGATAGCTTACTCTACCAGGTCATGGTAGAGTAAGGATATTACTCAATGTGTGTTCTATTATACTTCGTTAACCAGTCCTATATCTAACTTACCCATCTTTACTCCACCATCACCATCCTGCTCCAAAGAAACAGTAACCCCTCTGAGCTAACTGGTTCCTTTCCAACTTGATTCATATGTTTTCTGAAGACTAACAGGAACTGGTAAAGAGTAAGGTGATTTCTTTTTTTCTCATAAAGTGCATGCTTATATGGATGTGTGGATATTCTATATTAAAGAACCTAATCCAGTGTTAACTATGTTAAAGGTATTCAAGTTCTCTTGGATGCTAAAGTTACTTGCCACCCAATACTTTGAATCATTCTGACAGTAACTCTGCCACATAAACAGGAAAATAACAAGGAACTGGTATCACACAGCAAGGTGATCTTCCTCAAATACTTCAATTCCAAAAAGTAACACACACCCTAGAGTTTCTCATCCAAAAATGTTTTTTGAAAGTGATCCTGAGACCACCTGTCATTTCCTTGCAGGATTTGGAGATCCTTAAAGAACTGTACCTTATACAACTATCACCTACCACAGAAGCTAGATTAGTGTCTTACACATATTTTTAATTCAAATCCTAGATCCACGGTGGAAAGATGATTTATTTAACAAGATGTAATAAACGCTGTCATTTCACATGCTAGATACTTCAAGCCCAGAGAAGCTACAATATTACTTGATCAATGTACTAAACATTCTTTGTATTTTCTGTCTTCATTGCATTTTCCCTAGTCCCATTTCCTTTCCTTTATGAAAAACTCAACATTCTACCTTTCGCCCCATTTAAGAAAACTGAACACCTCTAAAAACTGGTCAAGTTTTAGAATCCTTCCTGAAAGCAATCTCTGGATCTGAAGATCTGTGACACCTGGGATCTTGATCAAGCTTGGTCAAAGTAGAATCAAATTCTCCAAATTTTTGATTTATGCAGGAATCCCATCCTACACCATTACCCCAAATCAGCTCTGAGAAAATGCAACTTGTTTTAAAAGTTGGTTTTTTTTAAGATTTTATTTATTTATTTGACAGAGAGAGACACAGAGGGAGAGGGAACACAAGAAGGGGGAGTGGGAGAGGGAGAAGCAGGCTTCCCACGGAGCAGGGAGCCCGATGCGGGGCTCAATCCCAGGACCCTGGGATCATGACGCAAGCCAAAGGCAGACGCTTAATGACTGAGCCACCCAGGCACCCCAGAAAATGCCACTTGTAACATGGCTCTAGTATCTAATGATTTTTCAAGGATTTCCTGGCCATACCCTAACACAGAATGGTGGTGAGTAGAGATGCCCACTAACTTCTTCAAAGTGGTTCAGGGCTGGTAGGCCTCACTATGGAACCTTACTGAGGTCAAGAGACTCTCTTGGTTTTATTTGGAATATGGTTCAAGGGCAGCATCTTTGAGCTACTCAACTAACAGGACATCTAAGCTGTATCCACACAAGTTGGAATCATGAGGCTCTTCCATTCAATTTCATATTGTATCATGCCATGAGTCTTTATATTCATTAGACTCCCAGGGAAGTATTATAACCAAAATAAGCATTTAAACCATATCTCTAAGTATCCTTTAAAAATTAAAAATAGGGGCGCCTGGGTGGCTCAGTCGGTTAAGGGTCTGCCTTCGGCTCAGGTCATGATCCCAGGGTCCTGGGATCGAGCCCCACATCTAGCTCCCTGCTTGGCGGGAAGCCTGCTTCTCCCTCTCCCATTCCCCTTGCTTGTGTTCCTGCTCTCGCTGTGTCTCTCTGTCAAATAAAATCTTTTAAAAAATTAAAAATAGAATTACTATATGATCTAGTGATTCCACTACTAGATATTTAATCAAAGAAAATGAAAACACTAATCCAAAAAACTATATGCACCCTATGTTTACTGCAGCATTATGTACAATAGGCAAGATATGCAAACAACCCAAGGGTCCATCCACAGATGAGTGGATGAAGACAATGTGTGGGGTGTGCGTGTGTGTGTGTGTGCGTGCATGCATGTGTGTGGAATATTACTCAGTCATAAAAAAGACTATCTTGCCATTTGCAACAATATGGATGCACCTGGAGGGCATAATGCTAAGTGAAGTCAGACAGAGAAAGACAAATACCATATGATTTCAACCATATGTGGAATTTAAGAAACAAAACAAAGGAACAAAAAAGGAAGGAAAGCAGGGAGGGAGGGAGGGCAGACTCTTAAATATAGAGAACAAACCAGTGATTGCTAGAGGGGAGGTAGGCGGGGGTGAGTGAAAAGGATAAAGAATATTAAGAATACACTAATGATGCGCACTGAGTAATATAGCAATTGTTGAGTCATTTTACTATATACCTAAAACTAATATAACACTACGTGTTAATTATACTTTAATAACAAAAAATTTTCTAATGTAACATCTCCAGTTACCCACTTATTTGTTATGTACATGCATCTGTTCAATCACTAAACAAGTATTTACAGTATTTAATACTTAGTTGGCTCTGGGCCCTAGAGAGATTATAAAAGACACCTGCCCTCAAGAATTTCACTTAGTCACTCAATCTAAGTCCTAGACTAGGTAGCAAAGGGAAAGAAAATAGGTATGCCCTTGACCTCACATAGATTAGAGTCTTGTACAGGATTCCTATAAGAAAGCTGTAGGTACTATATAGTTGTAACAAGCGCTGGATTCAAGAAAGCCAGTGGAAGCTTCCTGAAAGACTAAATTTATAGCTGCAGTGTCCAAACAGGTAGCTACTAGCTACATGTGGCTACTTACATTAAATTAAAAAATCAGTTCCTGCATTGCTCTAGCCCCATACAAGTACTCAAAAGCCACACGTGGCTAGTGGCTAACCTGTTGAAACAGTGCAGCAACACTTCCCTCCTTGCAGAAAGTTCTACTGAATATCACTGAAGTAAAACAGTGCTGCTCAAACTCCAGATGAGAAAATAATAAACAGCAAGAAACAAATAAAGGTTAACAAAGCAAGCCAACAGCATCACAGTTAATTATACATAATTAACAAGGGAACAGTAAGCCTAAAAGTAACCAGATATTTGTAGGGTTTTTTTTTAAGATTTTATTTATTCATTTGAGACACAGATATATATATGGAGAGGGGGGAGGGAGAGAAAGAGAGAAAGAGAGAGAGAGAGAGAGAGAGAGAGGAAGCATGAGCAGGGGGAGAGGCAGAGGGAGAGGGAGAAGCAAGCTCCCCGCTGAGCCAGGAGCCCAATGCAGGGCTCAATCCCAGGACCCCGGGACCATGACCTGAGCCGAAGGCAGACACTCAACCATCTGAGCCACCCAGGCACCCCTATTTGCAGGTTTAAACAGAGAGAGTTGAGGGGCACCTGGGTGGCTCAGTCATTGAGCATCTGCCTTCAGCTCAGGTCATGATCTCAGGGTCCTGGGATCAAGCCCTGCATCAGGCTCCCTGCTCCACGAGAAGCCTGCTTCTCCCTCTCCCACTCCCCCTGCTTGTGTTCCCTCTCTCGCTGTGTCTGTCTCTGTCAAATAAATAAATAAAATCCTTAAAAAAATTAAAAAAAAAACAGAGTTGATTCTATAACATAAAGATCACTAGTACATGTTTCAAAATTAGGGGCGTTATAAACAATAAAAGACACCATATAAATATCACTTTTTTAAAAAAGGCCCTGCTGGTGGAAACTGTATCTGGTAAATCTGAAATATCTGAAATACTACAAATAATATACCACTTGCTAAATCGTCTATAAA